AAATAAAAAATAAAAAAGAACTTTACAAGTCAGACTTGACCTCAGCTTTATGATCAAAACTCCTGTATTAACTGTCAAGAAAGAGAGCAGTTCTTCTAGATTTCCTTTGTTGAACTGTGGTCAGTCTGGAATGAAGCTCATACATAAATATCTCATTTAATATATTTAGAAAAAACACAGATGCATAAAATGATAGTTTTTGCAAGATCTTTGAAATTTTGCAGTTAAGGCTCTTATATGTTGCTATAATAAGAAATAATAAGAAGAATAAGAAATTTAATCTTTTAATAATAAGAAAAAAAGAAAAAGATCACAGTCATCATAGCCGATGATGTCAGGAGCTTTTGGGAACCTAATATCCTTGGCACATCCAGAATTTACTGGTGCTTTTTTTCACAGGAATACTGGTAAATCAACATCATGCTGCTATACAAACATCTTTTTGCTTGTGTAGCAAAATAGCACATGAATTTGTTTCAGATTCTTCAAGAACTTATTTAAGTGTATGTGATTGCAGACTGTAGCTAGTAAACAATTTATGGTATTTCAGCTGCCCCTCAGCCAATCTACTAACTTTAGATTTTCTGTTTTCTACATGTGGAAATGCTAGTTCCCCAAATCCCCATTTCTTCCAGATGCAATGTCAATCTGTAAATAATGCAAAATACACTTTCAAAATTCAAATTCCATTGCATCACTATTTTGCTTGTGGAATTACTTTATACAAAATATGTTTTCCTTTACAACTGGAATAGGAAATGGTCTTGAGATTTATGAGTCAACAGGTGATGAGGCAACAGGCTTTTAATCATCTTTTTACCCAATTTCATAGTTGGTACTGACTTCAAAAATAAAATTTAAAAATTATAGTATTTCATGCAGATCATTTACTTTTAACAAAGCAAGGCTGACATGTGTTGGCTGTTGTTAGTATCACGTTATGCCCATGACAGAGGAAGGGAATGACAGACTGTGATTCATTCAACTTAGATATATGCTATAAGTTGTCATCACACTAGTAAAACAGTAATGGCAATTTTCCAGTACTAAATGAAGTTGTTTTTAAGCATTTAATCTGCTCAATCAGATTTGCATCAATCCAGAGAGTGAATTCTGCTTTTGTTTTTAATCTACCTGAAGTGGTTTACCTAAAATGTCTGTATGTGGTCTTGTGACCAGCTACTGATGCTGTGGACAAAGGCTTTATGGGATAAGCAAAGTTGCTGTGGTTTGTTGTTGTTGTTGCTATTTACTCTTTTTTTTTTTTTTTTTTTAACATCTATGTAAAAAATGAATGAAATCTCCTATGCAAAAATGCAATGCAGATAAGTCATCTGAGTACAAAAATTAAATGTTGAACAGATGTGTTTAGATTTTAAAGTGCTGCCAGGATGACACCAATATAGTACAAGGACACTGTAGGGACAGCTGTTATACACACTGGGTCGCAGCTGCAAATATGATGTACCTTTCTGAAAGCAATTCAGAATTGCCATAAATCCTTTGCTAATAAGTTTCTCTAAGGCTTCAAAAGGACTCTGGCAATGATTAGATTTCTGAAATAACAAGATTTACTTACTGACAAGGTCTAAGAGAAACTGTACCCTAGAAGTGAGATGTATAGTGAATGGTCACTCTTAAAAACATTTAATTTGTCACTGCCTTGGTCACTGGGTTATCACATTACTTCTGTATCATTTAGTTTTAGGAGAAAGAACACTGTAATAATTGTTTCTGGTGATTGAAGACGGGGCTAGACAGTAACTCCTTTGAAACTGAACATTGAACAGGAAAGAAAAAAAAAAGCTAAAATTTGTTTAATTTTTTTTTTTTTTTTTTACATTATCTTAACACTGAGCAACACAGAGTTAGACTGCATGTGTCTAACTTCAAGCACTTCCAATACTGCTTAAATATCTTACTGAATGGGACCCATATTAGATTTAAAGTCCAAAAACTGACAGATTACAAAGATAGAAATACAAAGTCTCTCCTAGTCTTCCTTTTTTGTTTGTTTGGTTTTTGTTTGTTTGTTTTGTTTGTTTGTTTTGTACAATCAGTATTCCTTATGTTTGTCATGTTATCTTAAATATTTGTCTATGGAATCTTTCTTCTTCTTCTTCTTCTTCGAAATTATTCTGTCTGGGGAGCTTTTGGGTGTCAATCACTGCGAAAAGAGCCAGCAGTAGACAGCAAAATGCTGTCCTTCATCATCTGAAATAAAAGATTCTGAGAATCTCCCAGAGGACAAAATGCTATATTCTTTCATCATGAAAATTGTAATCAAAATAGATTAATTTTAAAAGAGTACCAAAGGAAATTTTCAAAGTATACAGATCAATAGAAAGCAAGGCTTGTTTATTCCCCAATGCGTGCTGCTTCATTTACAACGTTGTTATCATAGATAGTTTACTGCTCATGTGAACAGAAAAGTAAAGGAACAGAAACAGTACAACAGAGAAGGATATGAATTAAGGATGAACAACATGATGGAATACTGTCAGAGTGCTAATCACTGTTAAGGGTACAATAGTTCTGTGCATTTCCAGAGTACTTAGCTTAAGGTTTATATGGGTATTTCCTGACTTTTACAATTGTTGAGTGTCTGATTGGTCTATACTTCTGCACAGAGACCTAGTTTCCTGAGATCCACCTACATGTCACCATTCCTGAATTCTCCATAGAAGCAGACCTTAATGTATAGAAGTGTAGCATTTTGTTCTTCATGAAAGAGTTTTATTTAATTTGACTGAGAAGTAGAAAATGTCCATCTGTGTGATACCACAAAGTACGTTAAGAGCCTTAAGTTTCCTGCCAAACACAAGAAAATCAATTATGTTTATTAGTAAACTTTTACTACTATTTGTATTAGGCGATTAAAATAAAACTGTTATATTTACAGGGAAGGGAATTTATGAGAGCTAAGCAACAAGATTTGGTAACATGACCTTTTAATAAGCTGCAACCACTATCTTCACATTGAAAAGGAAAAGAGAAGATGATACAGCCTAGTCACAGCTTACTGCTGTGACACTTTCACTCCATGAAATACTGTTAAAGGCAGAAGGAGAGACAACAACGAGGTGTAGTTAAATATTTACTGTCTGAGCATTGTAAAAGACTCAAGTGATACAACAGCCATCAATGCCCTGGATGTCTTGCTTTAGGAAGAGCTGGATTCTTTGGAACCAGATCATAAATCTTCTTTTAAAGAAGGGTCAAGAGACTAAAGAAAGGCACAGAAATGCATTTGTGAAATTTTTGGAAAAAAAAAAAAAGGCACCAACAGTACACCATATGGGAAAAAAAAAAAAAAAAAAAAAAAAAAAAAAAAAAAAAAAAGCATAGGCTGAAAAAAGCCTCAACATAAAGCAGGGACAGCCAAAAAACACTTAGCAGAAAGCCTGAACTGTTCAATTTGTCATGAGTCTGATTACAGAGACTCAACACCAATATGGAGGAAGCAAAACTAGACAACCATAAAAATTCAGTAACCATCATCTTGTTTTAAACAGTATTTTAATTAGGATTGTCAAATGCTGGAAAAATCACCTAATTAGCAACCTTCTATGGATTTTTTTTACACTAGAAAATTTTGTGTACATATGGAGCCCCAGTCCACAAGATGCCAAGCATCTTTTTTTACTTGTATGAAGCCCCAAAACACAGAAATATTCAGCATTCATAATTACATGCTTAGATTTACAAATAATAGTAATAAATAGATAGGCAGACAGACAGATAATGCCTGAAAAGTATTATCTGTGTGGCCAAAGATGGCCACACATAGACATCTTGGTATAAAAATTAATAACTGCAGTTATGATGCATTTCTTGATGGATACATGGAGGCATCCCATATCTCAAGATCTGTTTGCAGGCATACTATAGCTCTTTAACCATTTACTAATCATGTGTATATCTTAATCCAGGGAGAAGTTCTACAAGCATATCTGCCAAACTTCTATATCAGTCATGTGATCCTTCACAGTTACTGTACAATTCCACTCAATTATATATGTATATATATATATATTTTCCAGGCATTATCAACAAGGTGATTAGGTCTGGAATATGGAAGATCATGCATGCAATCCCTCTAGCAGTAGTTATTCTCCTTCAGCTGGACTAAGAACATATTCTCTGGATTATATACAATAGTAAAACATGAAAGGAATTTAGTCCCAGTTTTCATATATTCCTATTATTTACAGCTAGGTAATCAAGCTAAGCACAAGATGGTATAAAAAGTGTAAAGCTGGAAAGGATTGTACTTTCTTAAGATAAAATGTATTGTTATTTGAAAATATGAACCATTTTTGGTGCATATATGGGACTGAAATATTTTTGTAACTTAGTATGAAGAAATCTTATTACAAACTGAGTGAATGACTGAGTTGTCTGAAGGTCCAATGGAATATTGTATGAAAAATGAAATTATCAAGTGTAATAGGATTCATTACTGATAATGGATTTTCTGTTTTTAAAAAGCTACACCATAGTCTTCATTAATGTAGTGAAAAAGCAATGCCAGAAGTTCTCAAAGCAGCCTGTATGGCTGTCCTATGGTATTGCGTGGTTGGAAAAAGAACAACAGGTGAATGTAGAGCGCTTCTTTTCCTTCCCAGGTTTTGTCAGGACTTGGGGAATTTTTGGTCATTACTTTTTTGGTTCCTCTGCTTTCCACTCACAAATCAAGATTAAGAATGGATATAATATGGAATAATAATATATAATTGTAGATGAACAGTGCCTAGCAAATAAAACATTTTTCTGATCTTTTTACACTGCTGCATGACATGAAGCTGCAATATTTGTAAAGAAAAACAACAACAACAACAAACATAGAAACATAGCATAAATAAAACCCTTTTTTTTTTTTTAATATTAAGTGGACTCTGAGTCCAGGTTTGTTTTTAGGGGGTTGTTTTTTTCTTTTCTTTTTTTTTTTTTTTTTTAATTATTTTATTTTTAAGGGAGGGGGGAGAGAGTGTTGCTGTTTACTCTGTTTTTGTTTGTTTCTTTGTTCGTTTGTTTTGTTTTAGGACTCTATTAGTCCAGAGTTTTTTAGCTTTACCAACACAGTTTCTTCCTAATGAAATCTAAAGTGTATCTGCAAGGTGCTTTTTTTATGTAGAGAAAGAAGAAAAGTAGAAAGTTTAAATAAATGCTAATTAAAAAAAAAAAAAAAGTTAACTTTACATTTTTGTAGCTACATCTTTATTCTGCTCACTAGGCAATCATCCCAAGTTATTAGTACTGTTTTTTTTTTCTTTTAAGTCAAGCATTTGATTAGTTTCAAGTAAATAGTTTCATATCACTTTATAGATCAGTAATTAGTATTTCAGTTAGAAATATTGTTATAAATATACTGAAATTATTTGTAGAAAGACATACAAGAATGTAGTTGAGCCTACTAACTTCTGTCATCAAAGTTTAGGATTTTTTCTTTCTGTATGTGTACTTGCGTGTGTGTATGTGTATATAAATGTTATATGACATACATCTTTACATTAATGATTACCCGGACTGGAAAGGAAAGAAAGCTAAGTTTTCAAAGGATCTATTCCATCTAATAAGGGGGAATAAGTAGCTATTTTTTGTGTCATAGACAGATTTTTTTTAAGTATGCCAAAACCTACCCCTTGAGCATGCACCTTTAATTTAGTATTTTATAGGCGTATATAAAGCAATGGGTTGTGGCACTTCAAATTCAGATATAACATTTTTCAAACATTTTCTGTCTGTCATCTTATTGTGTCTGCATTAATAGCTGTACACTGCATCTCGCAATACCTTATCTGGATTAGAGATGTACCTACAGTGAAATATTCAGAGAGTTAACAAGGTCATGCTGAATAAGAGCATGGAATACTCTTCTAAAGCAGATGCTTTTTTGGTTTTGAAATACTTCATCAATAGGGCACAAATAATTCTATTTATTTCTTCTTAAAAAATGTTATTTTTATATCTATTTATTTCTTATTTATTTCTGCTTTCTTCAGTCATAATGTGCTTCAAGCACCATATGTTGACTTCAGAGTAAATATACAGATTTTTGAAAGTTAGAAATATGACCTGTTCTTTGGGGTTCTCAACTATTACATGAAATCAGTTGCCTGAAGTAAGTTGTAAATGTATTTTTAGATCTTATTTTTACTTTCAAAAGAAGCAAGTCTTTCAGTGCTTTCTTCTTTTTTCTTTATTTTTTTTTCTTAACCTCAAATCAAGGACAAATATGGCTTTGCTTCTGTTATGACAGCATCTGTGTTAAGTGTGTTTAAATCTCACTGTGCTTTCTTTTTCTACAAGGAAGTGAGAAATGGGAGTAAGCAGAATTTTAAAATTATTCTATGACCAGATTTGTGTGAAGTAGAGAAAAAAAATAAAAGGATCTGAGTAACGATAACTACTAGCAAGTGAGTGTAAACTAGAACATGAGAATGTAACAATAGCTGCTTTAGGTCAGACAGAACCATTTATCCAGTATCTTGTCTCAAAACACAACTAACAGTGGAAGATTTCAAAGTGTAAAACAACAACTAAAATTTGTAGTAAAGTCTCCCACAGACACTATCCCAAAGCCCTGTCATTTGTTGCCCAGCATTTTCAGGGTCACAATTTAAAGAAGAACTTGTCCAAGTTCCCCTTGAGTCCATGTAATCTCTCAGCATCCACTGTCATCACGTTATGGCAATGACAAAAGTTACTGACCCTTGGATTTGACAAAAACATACCCATATACAAAGGTTACATTAACAGGAAAAAGAAATAGGCCACTGACTCTGAAAATACTTAACATTATCATATTATTTTGTATTTATCAAATCATTTCACCTAAAATGTACTAAATTCGCAGAGCAGTGAAAAAAAGTCTTTCCTAGCCTGGTTTGCTCTGATTTATGTGTTAGTTTGTAGGAGTGCTCCTATGGAAAGTTCACTGTTTTCAATCAGCAGTGAGTTCTGGTTATGGAATGGGGAGGAACTCCAGTTTTGTCAAAAAACAGCTGTGTTCTCAGTCAGTCTGACACATCGTTGGTCAAATTTCTATCTATCTGCAAAATTAGGATAACAATTCCCTATTATGCATTATGAGGTTTTTAAATGCTACACAATTCAGTCTTGCATAAGGACATAAATTATGCTTTTTTGCATTGTTGCCTTTTCTTATATTTGCTCTCTAAATAGAAGTCATCTCAGGAATCATCAGTGAATGTGTTCTCATCCATGTTAAATAACAAACCTTTTATTTTTTTTTTCTTTTTATTGCATATAAATTACCATGAGAAACAAGCAATACTTATACCACCTCCTGTGATATTTATGTGGAGAAGTCAACTGATTTTGTAGAATTTGCAGTTCTAATCAGTGCTGTCCTGCCATAAGAGTGAATTATCACAAGGCTCAATACTTGATGTAAATTTATCTTTACAAAGCATTATCAGTGACAAACTTGTAAAAGGAACAGAAAATGACACAAAACCATTTTGCTTTCTGCCAAAAATATAATGAGATCTGAAAATGGCAACAAAAATTAATCCATTTTGTGACAAATCTAAGATTTTAATCTTATGGGAGAACATTCTTAGAGCCATATATAAATACTATTAAAATGCTGTTGAAAGGAACAGATGGCATTTTTTTCCAGATTGTTATCTGCATGTAGATGAAGTGCAGTATTATTAATGGTCATAAAATCATTTGCAAATATTTTAAACACAAGTATTAGCATACCTCAAGCTTGGAAAATGTCCTCCTTTGCAGGAAATTGGATTCTGGAAATGTGTTTTCCTTGATACTATATGTAACAATGTAATTAATGAATTGAATGCTTGCTCAATTCAATTAATGTTCAGGTAATGTCATATTGATGAAAAGTCAGGAAATGCAGAAAATTAATGATAAGATTTTAAGGGCATTGTGCCTTTCTAAATTGTACTTTAACATGCACACTATGCAGTGGGAATCCTGCATAGATAGTGCAAATAATGGATAATAATTTACAAACTAATAATGTAAAAAGATAGAAAATTTACCCATATTACTCTAACATCGATATCTTTCATCATTTTTTTGTCACTATTCCTTTCATAGGAATTGGACGCTGATTGTACCAATGGACAAGGCGTCAGGAAATGCTCAGCAATTATTGTTAAATTTAATTGGCATTAAGAAAAAGAAATTTTTACAGCCTGTGTCCAGTTTCCCTTTACTGAGGGTAGCCACATACTACTGTTCCATCATGATGTTAATCCTGATGTTCCAGAGGAAGAAGAGCAGAATCAGTCCTTGTGATGACATTCGCAGAGGTCTTAAAGCAAAAATATACATATAAATAAGCTTACTATTTTCAAAAGCTATCCAAATTTAATTTTTATAAATAATTTTCACATGAGCCTGTTTCTACCTTAGAGTAGATTTTTTGTATAAGTATTTTTTCTGACCTAGTTTTACAGTTAATGATGTTATCCAAGGGCAGCTAGATCTCAGTCTGCGTTCTGGTCAAAACTGTCCATGTGAAGTTGCTAATAGATATCTTTATTTCTTTCCTTAACTTTAGCAGTAAATCTCTAAACTTTCTGGACAACTGATGGAAATTAATGAAGTGGCTAAAACTGAAATTTTACTCCTCCTTTTCCATCTAATTAACTGTTTTTTTCCTAACTCTTAACAATTTTAACTAGCAGAGTTTGTCAGTTAAAGCTCTTCCTCTCTGGTATCTTTTGCCTCTCCCCACTTCACTTTTAAAAGTAAACTTAAAAGTAACTTATTTCTAGCTAAAATCTCCAATTTTTATCTTACTATTTTCAGTCTATCACAATAAATCAATCAATCAGTGAGAAAACTGATTGACAAAAACAGGCAGAGCAAAATCTCCATAACTGTCTTGTGTCCCAATTTAGCCATTTAATGGGTTGCCTTTTAGCTTTGCTGTCAGGGTCCCACAGCTGAAAAGGGGAGCTCCCAAAGCTTTCTCTGTGAAGACAGAATTGTAGCTCTGAAGAGCTGTCCAAAACCTGTATCAGGATACTACAGACTTTTTTTTTTTTCCCTCTTAAACACGTTAACCATGGTACCCCAGTGACCTTCTGCTGGCAACAGAGAAAAACTGCTACATAAATAAGTATTGTAAAATATTAAAGAATTTGTATTAACTTCAATATTGCCTTTTACACTTCAGCTATACATACATATGTATAGATAAGCTAGAGATATGCACTGTGTAATAAATTCATCCTTTGTTCTGCTCTGAAGAGAATAGGCATAGTGTGACAAGACTATCTACAAAAGTAAACAATGATTTCAAACTGACCCCTTGTGAAACTTATGGTCATCTTTGTACCTTTGTATCTTTCACAGATGCAGTTGGTACTAAAACCTAAGAAATTAGATAGCCCTGGTCATGGTTACATGTCTGCAGGGACATCAGTAAATATTTATATGCACATACATAAATGTAAAAAAAAAAATAATCAAGCATGACTTTCCTGGCAAGAGACTCATTCATCAAAATAGCATCAGTTACAAGAATAAGACAATGGACTAACCCAGGAATGTATTTGTACACTTGATCTTTTTCTTACTGTAATTGCAATAAATGGCTCATCACTTTTCTTTTCTGGCCTGGCCTGTCCTTCGGTTCCCACTCATAAATCACTGAACTCTAACACCACTGTCTGAAGGTTCTTGCACCCCTAGCATGTGCTTTTAGCACTTTACATATCTTTTATGTTAATGAAGAGTTTTACATCACTGAAATAACATTTATTTACATGTATTCATTGCACTTCAGTAATCCATAATGTTGGGGGTGGGGAGTGGAGGAGAACTGAAAATAAAATTGACTTACTCTTGTGTACTTCCTGTTCAAATACATAATAAGCTAGATTTTGTCCTTACCCCGAATCAGAAAAACTCTGATATTTAGCAAAAGTGTTCCTACCCATCTTGCATTGCTCAGGGAAAGAAAAAAAATACTAATTAGTAAAGCAATGTTTCTGACTTTAAATCATTAAGCACTTGAAATCTAATTCAAATGTATTCAATGATTGCCCCAGTTTATAATACTTGAGGAAATGAAAGATCATAGGAAAAAGAAATTAAAGCAGAAAGAAGCAAGGCAGCAGTCAGAGTCTCAATGCTAAAGGTGGAAGCTTGTGTTTAAAGGACAGCAAGAAATCACAAGAGGCTGGACACAGTACAATTTTGAACCATCATAAAAAACCCTGTCTGAAGGTCCTTATACAATTGTTTGCATGTGTTCAGCAGCATTGCAGATGTTTGCAGGGAATCACAGCTGAATAATCCCCGCTTCCTTCTTGTGCCAATCATCCTCACAGGCTAGGTTTACAGTATTGTTGCAAATGTCTGAGAAAAGGACAAAGACGGGGCAAGTACCTTGGCCAACTTGTCCAAGGCTTACTCATAAAACATCATAAATGATGAATTTCCTAAAGAGATAGATATTAGCATTCTACTTACTAAAGTTATTAAACCCTGATGGTTCTCTCAGACTTCAGTTTGCTTTTCATGGTTTATTAACACAATTGTAAGTCATGTCATCATGCGATGTCATGGGTTTAAGTCACTGATTTCTACCTTATTCAGTGGGCTGGTAACATGATGCTGTGATATAAAACTCCTTCCAGTCCAGACAGCCAAAGGCAGCCTGAGATTATCAGCCTACCAGCAAGTCCCTCCTGTGTTGTTTGGGCTTCCTTAACAAGGTCTTTTGCCTGATTCTGTCTGACATCACCAAGGATTTGTGACAGGAATCAATTAAGTGATCAAAAAATTCTGGATACTGCTTATATGACCCCGTACCAAAGCTTAAGAAGGACACGTTTATTTCTCAGTCCTAAAGTCCTATCTGAACTTGGACTTTCTCCTATACTGAGTTAAAGTGAAATAAACTTTTACATGTATTATAATATGTGGAATATAGGCTCGGGCCTATACTTAAAATACGATTTATAGGTACCACTCTAAGAAACTTTTTTAACATAATGACAGGGATATTGTGGAGTATCCTTACATAATTCAATGTTCTATTCTAATTAATATTACTCTGTTCATGTTCCATGATATAATTCCTGTTTTGTTTTATAATATGAATTTAATTTCTGAATTTCCAGGGTAAATTATCTAGTTTATAGCAGATGAACTAGTTATTCATGGTTTGTTTTTATTTTGTGCTCAGCTAGCTTTTCTGTATCTTTTGGCATAACTCTTTGGCATGTATGCATTTACACAGAAACAATGGTTTTGATGGATTTTGTGTGTTGAGATTTAAAATTCAATTTCCACAAATGCACATATAATTAAAATTAGACAAATTATATATTTGTGAAAAACAAAATAAAAGCAAACATTCAAACAAACCCCCAAACTGTAGCTAGTTACTATTTTATGCAATTTTAATTTTCTGTGAACTGGGCTGAAGAAGTTAATCATCACCTATGTGGGATAAAATATTTTGACCTTTCAGTAGATTCTGCATGGCAGTACCTGAATATGCCAGGGCAGCTTTATTTAAATGCAAACTGTAGAAAACTATTGAGTTAATTATAACCTTGAATCAGGGCCAGTTCTAAATATATCTGAGCAAAGTATGTAGATTGGGGTAGTAAGCCAGGAACGGAAAATGCCTAGAGCACTTCTACCATTAGGGGCATAGCTTGGGAAAGGCAGATTTGCTGCTGCTGGCAGAAGAACGACAGTGTATAAATTCCTTCAGGGGGAAAGTATGGAGGGTGATGGTTGCTTCCTTATAAGCAGCTTTTGCCACTCCCAGCTTGCCATGTCGTACCAGTACCAAGCCATAATTTGGCAAATTCTCCAGCCATGGCTTTCCATCGCAGCTGTGTTTTCTCACCTCTTCAACCATGTGTATTCATGGTCAGAATACACTGATCATGGTTCCTTATTCTGAAGGCAGCAAAAACTAAATTAGCCTACCCTTTGGGAAAGCCTTTAATTGAATGTAACACATTTAAGAAAGCTGTGTAATTTGTTAGAACAAAAATGCAAAGATTATGTGCTGACTAGTGAGGCATTACTGGCATAGCTACTTCTGTCAAGCTCAAAGACTCCTTGATATCAAAGAAATTTCAATTGCTTCTGCGCTATCTTCAGACTTGTAGAAAGGTTGTCTCCATGCTACTTTCTTTTGTACCAGCTACACTCAAAGCTGAAGTTGTTGGGAGAAGGTTAGATGGCTGGCACTTCAGGAAAAAGGGCGGAGGATAAAACTTGTGAGATTAGCACATTAGCTTAATGTTTCTGTTGAAGCGATTTGCAGTGAAATAGTTTACACCCTTGCAAGTTAGGTTTTTATCTCTGTTTCTGCTGCCTTAGGATGCATGCACCAGCTGACACATATTTGCTTTAGGTGAAATACAGCAGAGGAATTTGCATTCAATTAGGACATATGATAAGTAATTTAATGTGGAAAGCACTCAGTCAACATCCCTGGTCAGAGGGGTGAAGAAATAAAAAGAATTAACTATTGTGATTGTGTTTTGTTTCATTTTCCTTCTGATTTTGAAGTAGTAATGCTGCCTTCCTTTTAATTGTCAGCAGTTGTCCACCAGTAAAATGTTTGTTATAGTTTCTCAGGATCTGCAGCAATCTGAATCTAATTGGTATGAGGAGCAGAGTCTGTTGGTAAAAGTGATCACACAGTTGCCTGAGACTCCTTACACTTCTTTCTGAATCATTCAATCTGGACACTTACAGAAATGGGAAATTGGGATTTGATTTACCATGGAAATACTTCCAAATAATCTATATTTTTAGGTATCCTTGTATATGAGTAGCTCAATAGTAATCATGATAAGAGAATAAAGAAACGCTTTTATTCTAATTATTGAAACATTACATAAAAAATTCAGTCGATTCTATTAATCATTTTATGTTGTACATATAAGTTGTTTTTTTTTTTTTTTTCCAGACAATATGTATGTAGACTGTCTCAGCTCCACAACCAAAACCTACTGAGCTTATAAATAATCAGTATTTTAAATTACTTTCAAAGACAAATGTTTTGACAGTAAATTAACGTAGCATCAGGGAAATGCTTGCACTTTTTTTTCTCTTCTCTTTCTTAGGTAATAGCTGCATTGTTTCACCACTATTTCACCTAGCTTTCAATTTTCACTCCTATCTTAGTAAAAACTGTTTCACAAAAGAAATAAAAGGAAAATAAAAGCAAATGAAAAATAAAATTCCCCCAGAACCAGCTTCATTGCTGATCCTTTGTATGAGTTTGATCTAACTGATTTCTGCTGAGAATAAAACAAAACTCCAAGTGATGAGGTCAGTAATCTAATTTTGCCTGAAGCAATCAGATAAACACAATGCCAAAAGTAAGGTGAATATTCTGCAAAGATAATAGGTAAGAGATGGAAGTTAGTCATTCAAGACTGGAACGAGCTCAAACAGGGACTTACTCAAACAGCTTTCAAATCTGTTGCTGGCTCTCTCCAACTCTTGAAATATCAATGATGATAGTAAATACCAATATATCATTTTTCCTGTCATTAATTTTTCAATCCAATCTGGAACAGACATTGCAATTACATTTTCTGTGAAAAGTCACAACTATATCTCCAAAGACAATGTGGATTGACTAAACATCAGAAATCAGAATGAAACATCTGCATGTAAAAAATTCTCTTTTGGCAAAAAAAATAAAATAAAATAGTAATAATAATGAAAACTCAAAGGGCTATATGTGAAAGATGTACTATTTATGTAGACTGTGTCTGTGAACAGGTAAAATACATCTGCATTTAAGTGGATGAGAGGAGTTATCAGAAAGTTGTTTTCTATTTTTAACAATGCTCGTGTTTTTTTTCGCCCTTAACTTTATCCAAATGAAGTGTACCTAGAGATGGCATAGAGAGCATATTTCATTAGCTTAAAAGAATGATAGGTAAAGAAAATAACAATATTCATAATACCTTATTGTTCAGTAATGTGTATTTGCTACTTCAAGCAAAGAATATATATTCCTAACTGCATTATGCAGAAGCCTAGATCTAATTTTTTAAAGGAAAAAAGAACATACATGTCACCAATTGATGTGAGTGACAACAGGTGCACAGATCTCAGTCAGTGTCACCTACCTAACCTGTCTTAGGATCCAATCAATAGAGCCATTCAGATGTTTATCTAACTAGGTCAGTGAGGATGGAAACATCTAGAAGCTCATACATCTCATTTGCTGCTTCCTTGTGAATTTTCCTTCAGAGATTCCTTTGAGGTAGCATTCCAGAAAACTGTCTTACACCAAACACAATTTTAAAATGAGTCCTGAGTCTGCCAGTTTCTGGCTGATACCACTAGGTAGCTATATATGTATAAAAATGATTTTTTAGGCATCTAAATACTCTGAAATAAAAAAATACCTGGGATCCTCTGGCATTTGACTCATAATTCATCCTGTTCTTAGTGCTCAGGGGAGGGGAGGGGAGGGGAGGGAAAGGGGAAGGGGAAGGGGAAGGGGAAGGATCACTAACAGGAGTCCATTAGGTTATCACCGATCTGTTAGCAGAGAGGTTCAGTGCTGGGAACTAACCCAAGCTGACACAAACAAGAACAGCTGTGGGTCCTAAGTGGATGGCATGAACAGACTGTCTCAAACATCGACAAAAGCACAGCACTTTATGTATTTCTAATCAGATGGAACATGTAATCCTGGTGTATGTCCTTGCAAGATAAAAGAAAACAGTAACAGCACAGGTGTGCAGATGTTTGGCTCAGGTACAGAATGAAAGCATAATTAAAGGAGGATAAAGCAGAAAAACGAGCCAGTTTTTCATTTAAGAAAGTTAAACATAATGCTTCAAACCAGAAAAACAGTTATTTGAGCAGAATGTGTTGTCTGAATTAGTCTGTTCACTGATTTACCAGTGCTTTATGGATTAACTCAATAAATCATCTGAATGCTATCTAATTTTTTTATTGTTTTTCTCTTTTGTTGCATACATAAACTTTTCTGATACTTACATTTTTATGCTTTATATCATGAGTGGACATTGCATGACTTGCTGATCTCAGCTTTGCCATCTGCATTACTGAAACAGTAAATAAGTCATGGGAAGCAAAGGTACATTCTTAGAGCTGTCAAAGGGTGATCGTTGCCACAGAAACTACTCTTTGCACTCTGAAGGTTCAGTGAGTTTCATTTCATTTCATTTTTTCTGGTCTGAAAAAGATGGAACTCCTCTCCTGAAAAATGAAAAACCTTAAGCAATTGGAAAGTTACAAAGAAGCAAACAAACTAGGCACCTCCTTTTCTTTAGAAACAGGACCACCTAATCCCATGGGTTACTGAAACTATTGATGTGGGATGTTTACATTTTCACTGCACAAGGGAAACTATACTTTTTCCAAAAAAGTATACCAAATAGTTTCCCCTATTTGGTACATGTGACATTAGACATCCTTTTCTCAGGCTTAATTTGAAAGTTGAGCTGTTGTTTTGTTTGTTTGTTTGTTTGTTTTTCTAGTCTTGGTAACATAGAAAACAATCCTATAAACAAATCATCATACAACTCTCTCTAGAACTCACCACACAATAGTCACAGCATACAGTAACTTTGAAAACCTGACTGTTTTGTAATAGTTTATTTACCACAAGGTTAAAATACCTTAGAGGATATGTCAGACAGAAGGACACTTACTGCAGCGAAGGAAGAAAAATTATGAAAAAAGCCATGCTTAAAATACAATAGAAATTATTCTAGTGGTGGGAGTGGAAAGAATTTGAAGTTCATATCATGCTCTCTTTCACAAAGATGAGAATACTCAACTTTACAAAAACTTATACTGCTACTTACAGAAATAAGCCTGTGATACAGAAGAAAAACATCAGAAGTGAACAGGATATATGCAGGATAAATAAATAAATAAATAAGGAGAGAATAATTTATTTTTCATGGTGTTTCATATTCAATATCTTTAAATGAAACTCATTTCATCTGAGTACTTTTCAAGTCTTTGCAGAACTTCTGTGCTATAAAACCTCCTGTGCAATCATAAAACATTCAAGTTAAACATACACTAGAGAAAATATCCAACAAAGATGTTAAATAGTGCAAAGGGACAAAAACATTTTTCTTCTTATTGCTCAGCTTGGCTTTCCACCTGTTGTTTCTTATGATGATGAATCTTACTTCAATCATTATGGACATCCTTTCAAAGAGATGATTGCTTTTAATGAAAGGGGAAAAATCTTTGCTGTTTTGAATGCTAAAATCTCAGGTACTTTTAATACATGGAAAGTAACCTATTATAATTTAGTATTTTCTGTAACAACAACAAACTATTGAGGATTGCAAATTCTTCCATTACAGTGCATGTATCGTAATCCTCCTGCAATAAGTCAAGCTCATAAGACACACATAAACCTTCATACTGAACTAAGCTAAAGTTTTGGAGTTCTTAAACTAAGTTTTTAAGCAAACATGACATTTTTCTATGTTTTGGATTTTTATTTTGCCAGTAGAAATACTGGGGAAGAGTAGTAAAGAAAGGTCTTATAACAATGGAGTGGCTTCCTTAATCTTCTCAAAAATAAATAAACAAACAAATAAATAAATGAAATTATATTTATATGTGTAAATGTTTATAAAATGCACAAAACCATTCATACACTTTGTTGAGCTCCTGAAATAACAGCCTATGATTAGAATTAGTATCAGCCAAGAAGTGCTAATGATTTTTAGCATTCACATGCTTCTGAATTGGCCCTGAATGACTGTGGAGTTTAGGCTTTAAACAAGAGGAAGAAAACACTTTCCTCAGCTTACAGGTCAAGGGTGTGGCACCTTAACTCCTTATTATCTTCAAGCACGATCCATACTTAAACCCACTCTTAATTGTGCTTAAAGTGGAAAGGGAACTGTGATACCTGGGCCTGTTCGGACAGGTCCTGAGTCTGAATAACTGGAAGGTGAGGAAACATGGGGTGCAGGAGATAGTGTCTTTCAGTTTCAGTTTACCCATTTTAACTGACTACACAAGCCAAGAAAATAATTAAAGGTTTTCTAAGTATAAAATCTGCAAGCAGCTTTTCCACTCCCTTACTGTGTACTGCTGGCTCTAAAAAGGAAGACGTATTTGAGCTTCATAATTCATAATTTCCAATTTTCAATTGGAAAATAACAATGTATTACATTCTATGTAATTTTTAAAAACAAGATTTTGATTAATTTTACATTTCTCTCACTCTAAAGAACTTCTAGAGAGCTAATTAAATGATATTTTGCACACCTCAAAAATAATTGGCTACTTTTCATTAGAGAAAGTACATAATAACATAATAAACCCAGAGCTCCTATTGTAGTTAACATATTCTTCATTGCTGTTGAAATTCCAGTTTATTAACATTTGAAGTAAGACCTCCCTAAAATAGTAAGTTTGGAACTGGATATTTTAATGGTTTATACCATTTTCCCATGAAATATCAAATATCAAAAAATATTTATACTAAACTGTATAAATGCTTGCTTTAGATATACCACACTTTTCCTACATCAGGCAGAATAGCAGGATGTTAGGTAACTGTAAATAGAAAGCATAAACACATTACAGCAAATGTATTAATCTTTTTACTCTATCAGTCCTCATTCTAATATATACAATCAGTATCTATGATGGTATATGGATTAGGGCTGTTTTTGTTTAAAATTTTAAAACACTAGAAAATGAGGAATAATTCTTCCTTTGAGCTCTTCTTTGAGTTGTTCCACATGGATTAAAACAAAAACAAAAAAACAAACAAATAAAATAAAAATAAAATACCTATCTGTGTACCTTGGGATGATCAAAGAGAGGCAGAAACTTACACTTCGTAACCTCTGCCTTCTTGTCCCCTTCAAGGAACAGAAGAAATGAAGAATGGGCCATTTACTCAATGGGTCATTACTCCTACAGTGCCAAAATGTACTAATAAATATGTTATTTACATTGACTCTCAGGAAACACTCTTCAATAATGTGTCTTGTCTCTGAACGAGGACATGTGATCATCCTAGTAGAAAGACTACTCAGAGAGCCTCCTACTCATTCATTGCTTAAATTTATCCTTCCAGGAGACCAGACCTTTACTTTTGCAAAGGAAAGGGATCCAAATGAGATGTGACTCATCTGATCTTGCATGTCTCAAAGTTAAATGTTTTTCTTGGGACTAATTGTTAGGCCAAAATAATTTGTTAACCTCAAAAAGAGAAGTGGACCCACCAAGGGATGGTGGGTTAAACATCATTTGAAGATACGTAATAAAGGAAGACAGGATGGATTTTTCTCCTAAAGCTTCCTATATCTTTTTATTGACAATAAGGGGTCTTAACTTAAGGTGCTGGTTTAAACTGTATGCAAAACGTTTATAATTAATATGTTCTTTTAGTTAGTTGACATTGATTGTTTGAAGGAATGAGACTTAAACTTGGAAACCAGGAAGGAAAGAAATTTGAGGAAATTCAGTTTGCAAAATGAATCATTTTCAGTAGAAATAAAGCCATACCTGTTCAGTTCCTGCTGTACTAGGCAGGCATTTAAAACCTAGTAATTACTTTAAACATTCAGCCATTGATTTAATAAATCATAAAAACAATTGACTGTCAAGGTCAAAATACATTTGTTTAAAGAATGGTAGATTTGTTAGGCTAGCAAGGACTGGGTAGCTTCTATAATACAGCACACACCCTTGAAATCCTAAATTGTACAATGAAGGACAAATTTTGGCATCTGCAATAGCAGAAAATTTCTGAAGACAGCATATTAACTTAATTAGTCTTCCTGCATCATTACATAATTCACTTAGGGAAAAAGAACAAAAGTATTGATATCTATTTTTGTTTGTTTTGTTTTGTTTTGTTTTGTTTTTTAGCTCTAGCTTCTGTGAATCATTCATATATTCATTCATTTTAGTAGCATTCATTTTGATACTCAGCAAGAGCTTTGAAGTGTGTGTTGCTATTTGGTATCCTGCATGTCTGTACATGAGGATTAATACACCATTTGATTAGAAATACATAAAGCCTGTGTTTTTGTCCACGTTCAAGACAGTCTGTGCATGCCATCCACTTGTTAGGACCCACAGCTGTTCTCGTGTCAGCTCAGGTTAGTTCCCAGCACTGAACCTCTCTGCTAACAGATTGGCAATGACCTAATGGACTTCTCTCAGTGACCCTTCCTCCAAAGGACAAATCACAGACTGTACAGCACTGATTGTCTAGCAAGAAGAAAAACACATTATCCAAATTCATTTGTTTTTAATAAGATAGGAATCTGAGCTGACCTGTTTCTGATTTAATTTCCTCTCATTATTTAGAGTCTTCCTCACCATATCCACAGAAATCTTTTACCAGCAGGAAGTAGAATATCTCATGCATTCATTTTTGGTACTAGCAAATCTCATTCGCAAAAGAGCAAACATGCATTCTCTATTGCTTTATATTATGTTCCTATATTATGTTTATAATATGTTCCTATATTATGTCCCTAACACCTGTCTATATTTTTATGCATTTGCATGTATTACACACCTGTTCATTTGATAAACTCATTCAAATATTAGTTATAAGACAAATATAACATTTAAGATCTGCTATTTAACATCTACTATATCAACCTGTATTGAATGCCTTCTTATTGACAAAAATAACCACTAATCAAATAAGCCAAAGAAGTAGAAACAAATTAAACTCCATTGTTTTAATTTTAGCATTAATAATCACTGAATCACAAAATTGTAGATGTTGGAAGGGACCTCTGGAGATCATTAAGTTCACCCCCTTGCTACAATGAGGTTCCTTACAGTAGGTTGAACAAGAAAGCATCCAGGCAGGTCTTGAATATCTCCAGAGAAGATTCCTATAATAATAATAATAATAATTTTCTGTTTGAAAGGATATGTAAGCGGAACAGAATAACATTCTTTCTTACATACCAAAGTGCTTGAAAAAGATTAAAAAGTACAATTGTTTTCACCTCATGAACAAGGAAACAGAGGTGTGCACAGGGCATTTTGTGGGGGTGACATGTAGCATTCTGCTTTGAATAACTGAGAAGGCTTGGTGTCTTCAGTCTGGAGGAGCAAAGACTGGAGGAGGAAAGTACAGAGATCTGCAGGTATGGCAAGAAGAAAGGGAATGGAGATTGATGATAAACTGTTCCTTACAAAGCAAGAACTAAGACCGATCACAAAAGAACAGGGGGAGAGCCAGACAAGGGGCAGTAAGGGTTGTTATGGATGCATATTTCACATGGGCTCTTGCAAAACCTGGGTGTGCACCTGGAAACAGATTTTTTTCTGTGCCTGCTCATGACCACTTTTGGAACAGAATACTGGGCTGGACGAATCCTTGGGAAGAATTAACACAGCAATACAGATAAGAAGAAAATCCATTGTCCTGCAATGTAATTATTAAATTGTAAGTAACTTATTACTAGCAACTAAAATTAAATTCTATACATGTTGACAAATCACAGTGTATACTGAAATAAAATCATTTGAAAGAAGAAACACAAATCAATATAAACAAGTTTTCAAGATCATGCAATTTAAATACTGAATTATTGTTAAAACTGATTGCTGAGGTTTAATAAAAATACTGGAGATAAGAACAGCTGCTTAGTAATTATTCAAAAATGCACATGCTATAAATGAATCATTCGTATTAGTTTATTAAACATGGAAGGTCTGTTCAGGCATTTAATTAGCTTTAAAGGAGACAGCTATGAGCAAATTCATTAGGTACTGGTGAAATTCATTAGGTACTAGTGACAAAGTAATTAGCACTTAACTATTTTGACTGGTATGTTTGTTGGCCTAGAACTCACTATTTCATCAGGAAGCATGTCATATTTTCTACGTTTCATATACAGACCTACGGCTGAATTTTGGAATACAGCTGTTTCTCTAAGAAGGTGCAGCGATCCATCATCTGTGAACAGGGGAAGAAGGAGATTTAACATATTTGATGTTGTGTGAGCAAAAAAGTATGCATGTTTAAGTGAGAATATGATCACAGCCAGCTGTTCTAGGGACTGCAGCCCAACAATTTGGGAGCTCAGGCACAGGAAGGCAGAGCTGGTTGATTGCTGCCTTTGTATACCAGTCTGTAGCACTTGCAAGGGAGTGCTCCCAGTCTGTGATTTAGAGAAATTCAGTTATCTCTTTAAAAGTGGGAATATCTTCCAGTTTAGGAGTTGAATGTGACACCCTCTCAAAAGAGAGAAAGTTGTCATCAAGAAGAATGGCAGATATCTCTGCATTTCCTCAGCCAGAAGACAAGGCTGATCCTTCCTTCATAGCCTTACCATACTGGTATGTCTATGGCCATGTGCAGTAATATTGAGTATCTGTGGAAATAAGCACTAATACATTTGGTGAGGGATTTTGTTGTAGGTCAGGTTGCTGCAATGTCTATTCTGCCTGTTTTGTTTTAAAGTCCTTTTGTGGCACTGGGTCTGTATAATCCTTTTTTTTTTTTTTCCTCCCAAAATTATTACAAAAAAAAAAAAGTCACACTATTTTTTGCAAAGTCATGTTATACTTTTTAAAAGCAATGGAATTCAAAAGCATTGTACAAACACTTGCTCCAAAAATATCATATTCATAAATGAAAAAAAAATATATTGCACAGAAATTCTACCTGATTGGCATTGACATTATAAATATTTTGATCTGATGAAAGAGCTCTTCCAAATCTTGTCTGGATTTGTTCTTGCCTGTAAAGAATCAAAATCATGTTTGTATTAGACCATCTATGCTATTTCAGAGTTCACGCTGAAAAAGTATAAACTGCAGTGACATCTATTAATACTGGTATAATTAATTGGAAAAAAAAATCAAAAACTGAAAAAGCTCAGAACACATTTGAACCTTTCTGACTTTGACATTGTTGTCATTCCCATGACTATATCCCCACTAAGTTGGAGAGAACCAATTCTCTTTTTTATTTTTATGTATCAAATGACATTTCAAAATCAGCAGCAAGACACTCAAACCAAAACATTGCAGGGAGATTATTAGAGTTCTTGTGTGATTATAGCCATTTGGCTTAGTGCCATTAATACCACCTGAGGTGTAGTATAATTGCCCAAAACTGCAATGCCTGTCATGTTTTATTTGTTAAGTGTCTATCACTAAAAATCCTTACTAACGATGATAGAAAAGTGCTAATCACGTTAATATGTATGAACACATGTATGTATATGTATGCATAAAGTGTGTTGCAGAATGTGGAGTGTATGTGTAAATATATATTGTTTATTTCTGTAGGTAACATAGCTGTTTTTTATAGTACTCAGAACATATACCTTACCTAACACTATATATAAAAATATATTGAAAAATATGTATAGGTACAATTACATTTGCATATATACATGTACAAACACCTTTTATTAATATCATATGTGCCTGTATATTTGTCTGCATATAAATTGCAAACTTTTTGTACCTGTACATAATTAAGAATTTCATTAACATTAGGACTCTTTAGAGATGTACATGTATTCTGTAAATTAACATGTTAAATTCTCACAAAACTTAACTTTCAGCAGTCAGTAATTTTTAACTAAAAAGTACAAAATAGAACTTATTTTGAATGAACAGCTTGAATAATGCTTAATTAATTTAGAAATAGAATGTAAAGTACTAGAGCTATAATATCAATGTTTATCAGTGTTATCAGTTTATCAGTATAATATCAGTGTTTAACATCTGATACTTAAAGAAATAAAACATATATTTAAATATATGTTCCTTCTCAGTGGCATACTCTGCTCCTGAGTAACAGATTCACAAGAGAGGAATCATATGTAAGCTGCAGATAAAATAAAGATGGAAGGTAGAACAACAAGGCATCAAAGAACAGGGGAACCTGGAGCACAAGAAAGAAGGATTTTTTTGGAGTTAAGAGAGACTGCAATTCTGAGACTCAAAAAAACATTTAAACACCTCATGTGAAGTAGGGATCAAACTTTCATAATTCATAAGACATGAGATGAGAATACATTAATTAATATTAATGATTATTTGCTTAAAATTTTTGATAATGAGCATGCTCATTATCAAAGGATAATAAGGAGCATCCTATTAACAAGATCATCTGTAATATTGCACTCATTTTCTATTATGAAAAAGTCAACACATCATCTCCTATGTGTCATCTGAGAATTGAAAAATATCCACCACAATAAAACAAGTCAGTTGATCTCAAATCCAAAAGCAAGTTACATTGGAATAAAAGTATATAAAGACACACCAGAAAGTCTCTCTGCATGATCCAGATGTTAGCAAATAGCCCTTGCACTCAGAGGGGACCTATTTGTATGTATAGTGTCATACTCGCCATTCTGTTTGGACTACTCTACATCATTTCAGCAAGACAAACAGTTTGTAAACCTCGTTTGTCCAGATAGACTAGTCACAATATTGAGTCACTGACCTTCTAGTAGATGGCAGACAAAATAAAACAGCTCCCTACATTTCCTCCTGCACAACTATGACAGCATTTATCAAAACCTATGCTACAGGTGTTTGGCTGCAGGTACTTATTTCTTCTCCTGGAATCCAAACTCTGGCAGTGCTGCATCAGGTACTCTGCAGTGGCTGAATTACAGTCACCCATCAGGACAATGAAATGAGGAACAGAGAGAGCAATGGCTTTCCATCTATCAGTTAAAGTATAGGTTTATGGACTGTAATTTTCAACTAGTATTTTGTATTATAAGATCTATATTAATAGGTCTGATAGTTCTTTTCTTGGCAAACAGATTTTGTTCACGTTGCTCTTTAAAACCTACATTACTGAATGAAGAATGAATGAGTGGATCTAAGTCTAGTCTATCAAATAAACTTCTATCAGTGATAAACTTTTATAAGTCACTGAATTTGTTTGCATGAATTTATTCTTGATGAGTCTTTGATCCAAATTAATGAAGTTGCTATGGTAGAGCTGGTTTAGACATAATTCAAATTCAAATTCATTGATTCAAAAATACAGACAAGTCATGTTCTACAGGCTGTTGGATATCCAGAATGCTTCATTTAGATGCTAATTTATTTGTTGATACCTCCGATCCCTGACATAACGTGCACATGGCAGCAAAACAAGAACAGTAAGAACAGTCCTGTCTTGAGCATACACAGGTAGCTTGATTGTGCTTCATCAAAAAAAAATTCTCTTAATGCCAGACCAGTCCAATCAGTGTCACTGATGATATGCAGAGGCTGGATATTTCAGTTGACAGTGAATAACCTCAACTATAGTGAATATCATGGCCTGTTCAGATGAGTGCAGCACTCAGCTTTGCAAATGGACAAAAGCTGATGTGGTGTGTGCAACAGTCGTTTTTTTGTTTTGTTTTGTTTTAAAAATTGCAACAGATGAATTAGTGGCCTAATTGGCATAGACACATTTGGATTGGTAATTTTGGTTTGGTGTTCTATGTTAAAAGGATACTTTTTCCCCTCTCTTGTTTTCAGAAAGACCATTTGAGCAAGAATTCTAACAGGAAGCTGCACATTCATAACTGTAGAGAAATATGTATATGTGTTGCTATTTATCATGAAAATATATTTTATTTTTACTAAGCAGAACTACAGAAAATAAACTTTTCATCTATTGCTTCAATGCTTTTTACACTTTACTGAGCAGGCTATTTGTGCTGCCTCAGGAATGTCAAGCTGAAACATGACAGAAAACTGATCTTCTATTTATTTGAACGTACCCTTTAAAGTCTGAGACTGCACTGAAGATTCTTGACACCAGCAACGCTGAATATTTTCATGCTGTTTACAGCCTGAACTGTAACAGGCAGGTTCAGTGTTAACAGCTATTAGCATGGGAAAAAGGAAAGAGCTGAATCAAAGAGCAGATGGTGGGTGATGAAAGAGCTGCAGGTAATAAAAAGACATATACAGAAAAAGACATTGTTTTTCAGGAAGTGCTATTATTCAGATTTACAAACATTATTCATATCAGCTAGTTATATTGTTCTCTTCTGGGAACAGCTGAAGCTGTTTGACAGTCCACATTGGTTAAAAGATTTTGAACCATGCACGGTACAATGTGCTTAATTTGACATTTGCACCCTTTACTTTGGGAGAAGAAACCCCCGCCCCCTCCCCCCACAAACACCCCTCACCTCTGCTAAGAAAAACCCAAGGCCTTTACAGACACTACTCAAGCAATTAGCAAGTGGCTTTGTGGGACTATGGAACTACAGTTACTCCAAGTCAATGAAGAACAGGTGTATGATACAGTAGTGAAGGAGATCCTCAGCTTTTTATATTGCCACGGCACACATTAAGCCATCTTGTCTTACACCAGCTTGGGAGCTGGAAAGCATCTATATGTATACATGTATATATATACGTAGATATATAGATTTTCCTCCCTCCCTGTGCCCTTTGTATGAGTTGAGGGGCCACCCAGGAGTGCATGCTGTTTGTCCTCTGGAACACCTGCTGAACCTCCACTGCCTCACTACAACCCTTGACAGCTGTGGTTTTATTTTTAAGAGACTTTAAAAGGCCTTTAAAATTACCACATGTGCTAAATGATGCTTTATTTCACTGCTACTGTCCTTCTAATGATACCTATTCAATATGGTACAATACAGAGTTATTTTGACCTTCTTACGTAATAGGATAAGTGAAAAAGTGTATGACAAACAAGGACCCACACACTGTGTGGCACATTAAGCATAGCTTAAACAGCAATGGCCTCTAACTTATTGTGATTTACAGGAGCAGCAGTAACTTCAGTCTGGTTTAGAAAGGTTTTGAAAGTTCACATGGCAGCTGCCTCCTCCAGTAAATATCCCAATGACAATAAAGTTACTCTAGCATTTTCTCCTAATTTTCTGCTCAGCTTCATGTTAGCCACAGACAGTCACTGGGAGTCAATGGAGCAAATGCTGAGACATCACTCGGGTACTCCTTTCCTGACAAAAAATTCCTCATGCTAGTACTGGTCTTGGTTCCCCTTGGAAGGAAGACATTTCAGACATGGTGAATACATCATTTACCCAGGATGGAAAAACAAAGTGTATCATTTTGGTTTGGTTTCTCAACACAAATAAGAGCACCTTGCTCAACTACATGAAGTAGCTGTTATGCTTTACAGACAAATGGCTGGTTATAATGCAACCAATACAAGTAAGCTGTACTACACTTTAACTGAAAATGCAAAGTTGCAAAACATATAAATCTTTTCTCAAATACACTGTTATTTACAAATTAATAGTATAGCACATAGGTTCAGTATACTCTTTTGCTTTGCTTTCTAACTGACGTATACATGTGGCAAATTGCTAACCAAAAATGACATCATATTTGAAAGCCTTTTGTCATGCACGGTACCACTCAACTCTGAGTATATCACAAATATTCCAGAGAGTGCCAGCAAAATGCTATTCAGACAGGAAGGTTGAGGGAATCTTTCTTTGCATTTTTATGTCAATTCTATACTGACAAAAATTTCAACTCCTCCATATTACTGCAAATCTTAAGTAAGGGGCTTTGGTACCAAAACAATTCAAGCAAAAGTGATCTTCATAAAACATGCTCCTCCTCCTCCTACCTCCTGCCCTCCAACCACACAGTTCAGGGCTACCAATCAGACTGTACAATCTTGTCACACTTAAACTAATTTTTCAATTAAAATCTTCAAAGGCTGGGGTGACAGTCTTTGTCACCCTTAGCCACACTGTGTAATGCACTATATTTTGAGTTGACCAACTCAGTTAATATACATTCAGTGAACTATTTATTATAAAGGTTTCAGCAACTAGCCCTAGGCGAGTAGCATAACAAATATCCCACTTTAGCATTTCTCCACACTTTTCCAGTTCACTAAAACTTTCCATTTTTCTTTTTATGAAAGAAGAAAAACCAGAAAGAGGATTTTTCTTAAGTATATCAGTTTCATGGATGTTTTTCCCCTAAATCAGGTCTTAAATTTTTAAGGCTACAAAGGCTAGAAATATCTTGAGATAATACACAATGAATGTGTGAAGCAGAGAATATGAATAAAGAAATACAAATGGTTATGAATATAAAAGTCTGAAAGGCAAAGAATGGTTTTCATTCAGCGTGATCAACCAAGCACAAAGCCTGATTCAGTATGAATGGGTGTGAGTGAAGCGGTGTAAATGGAAGTCAATATGACTATCAACAAAAGATTAGGAATGTGCAAGGCAGAGTGTGACAGGGTATTTATAAGCATGTCAGATTATAGATCATGATGAGAAAGGAATTTTAAATTTTCTAATAAAAAAAAGCAAACACATTCTGCTTCCTCAGAATATAAAACTCCATTTTATGAACAAGCTCTTTACTCCAAGTCAGAAGTGTGCAGGAAAAATAAAGAATATATGCGTGGAAATGTTTCCCTTTGTCAAACACACACTTTTTTCAAACACTACATGCAAATGTTAGGAAAATTTTTGTAAAAAAATTTAATAGGACCAGTGATTGTATGTGAACACTATAGTCTATGAAATTAAATAAATCACATGGATAAAAATATTTTTTTTAATTATTTTTAAGAACAGTAAAAATAGAAAACTAAACAGACACATTAGGAAAAATGTAATTGCAGCTGGATTCCTACTCTGTTGAAGAGTTTAGCATCAGTTTCCAAAGTTTAGTACAAGTTTCATCATTCTTGTTCTTACCTGGACAGAATGAGATGTCCTAAGTACCCAGATCCCTAGGAAAGTGCTCTCTTATTAAATGATAAGTATTTGGAGATATCTTTGATAAAGTAAATATGAAAATACGAAGCTTGCTTACCATACTCACTTAGACGCAACCCTCATATCTCAACATTTTGAGTAGAGTATATATCAAACATTCAGTGGTCTTCTGGACTTTAAAGAGAAAATATTATTTTTAAACATATCTTCAGTGTTTGGGAAGATGCTTATGATTGTATGCCTTCCTGTTCATATAAATGCAGTTCTTCATGGAGATTAATTAATCAGGTTGTTTTTTCACTTTGGAGTTTTGCAGATAACCAATAGGAGAAACACTACAGACTTATTATTAGAAAAGGTACTTTATCACCACTGGCACTAAGAAATCAGATTTGTTCAATATGAATAGTATTCTTAGTGAATTTAGGGTTTTACAATACCAGACATACATTAAAACACTTTATTTAATTTTATAGTGACCTAAATATAAGAGGTAGAATACCTAAAGAGGGAACTGCAATTCACAGTTATATGTCTAATTTTATACATACATACATGTGTATATGAAAATACATATAGTTACCATATGATAATTTGTTTTAGCAGTTTGAAATTAGAGGACACTATTACTATGTGGTATTTTAAGTGTTCATGTGACTGTGGCACAATTTTTGATTCCATTCCTATACACAATATGATAACACTCAGTTTCTCTTTCTCTCATCTCTATTGCCAGTACATGAAACTTCGGACAGAGGTTTATCTCTATTACCCATTCTATTCGAAGTAGGAATAGAATTTAAGGGAAACATGATCTATATTAATCATAAGTTTATTATTATGAATTACAGGAATTTCCATTCATGTTTGGAAAGCATGTGTAAAAATTTGGTTGCCTGTCTTTGCTCTAAAAGGTTAGTACATCCACCTTCCTATGCAATGTCTTTCTGAAGAACAGCCCATCTGATTCACAAAGACAGAAAACCTTGAAAAATAAATTAAGATTTAGATTTTTAACTTGTGATCAATTTGTGAAACTTGATGCCAGCTGAATTTCTATGTGATATTCATATTGCATTTAAGGCGCAAAGAAATAGAAGTCACAACATCAATAACACAAAGCTAATGTATATGTCAGCTTCAATATTATATCTGCACTACTGGAATTTTGGTTCAATAAAATCTCTCTGTGTGTAACCATAATATGAGCTTTAATACCAGAGCTAACTTTTCACTGAATAGCTGAAGATTGGCGCCTCATTTATCTAAATCTTCTAGCCACTGGATGGATTGAGATTAAGTCATCTAAGTCAAGAAAGGGTTGCTCTAGAGTTGTCTTTCTTCACCGTAAAAATTGTATCTCCGTTGCTTGTGTCCCAGATCCCCAAATTGACATGAAGACTTACCAGACATTGAAGATGAGTTTCCATTTTAAATGTGGTCTATATTTAAAGGTCCTTTGTGGCCTTTAAAACTTAAAGATGTTTATGCTTCTAGTACTAAAGTACATTGGAGCTCAAGAAGAAATATAAACTAGTACCATAGTATCTGCCCTGCCCATAGCAACTTGTGAAAGTGCAAAGTACAGTAAGTATTTACAAATTTTATTTTGCTCCTTTCTACCAATTTCTACCACATATTTCTTTTGCAAAAGGTATATTCTTACCCAAAGTACAGAAAGATCAATGTGATTTTTCCATAGTGTACATTTTAGCTGTTTGGGGGGGAAATTGATGGGGATGGATCAGGAGTCTATCTACATGTCTGTCTGTCTGTCTGTCTATTTATGCAGAGATTCATTCTGAGTCAGAATTTTCCATTTCTTATTGCATGTAAAGTTTGCAGGTGAGCTTACATTGAAAATGGATCAACTGTTGAAAATAAGTTCTCTGTTTCCTTGTTCTGTGATTAGTCTATGGCTATTCTCTTTTCCTACTACAGTTGAAGCCATCGTGATTTCTTTCTCTTTTAAATTGTATGTACTCTGATGTACATAAGGAAATATGGAGGAAATAATTAGGGGGAAATTCTCAATGTATTTTGCTCTTAAAATTATTTGACATTCTCTTTTGTTAGACTCTATGGGTGAACAGAAGTTTCTAACACAATATTAGGCATGAGAAGTGGATTCTTTAACAAAGTGGTCATTTAAATAGTGTCAATCACAATGGCATTATTTACTTTTGACAAATGATTTACTTTCAAAAATATTTGTCTTGCTGAAGTTTATTTTGAAAATTTGAGGAAGGTTTTCAACTGAAAATATGAGATGAATTACCTTACACTGCAGATAGGACTCTGTATTTCTGGACATTATATTCATATTTCTCAGATAATTCTAATTAAGTAGAGTAAAAAGTAAACCTCAGGTAGGTATTATGGCTTTGACAGCCACGGACTCTCAACTTGGACACATATGTTGGCTCAGAGATTTAGCTTTTACTGTTAAGGGCAAAAAGATGAAGTAGGAATATCTTCCAGACTTCTGTCAGATAGACTGAGGACATTTGCAGTGGATAGTAACAGGAAATACAAGAATCAAATAATTTGAACTGGATGGCTCTTTCTCTCAAACACTAAGATTTTCCTGATTTCTAGATCAAAAATATTTACATTTTAACTGGCTGTTTTGTTGTTGTTGTTGTTGTTGTTGTTTGTTTGTTTGTTTGTTTGTTTTTAACAACTTTGGTACAATTAATAGGTCTGTAAATTAAAATAACTTGGTACTTTTGAAAAAAATATATCACGTATAAAGAGCAAAATCACAGTCTTACAAGTGGGCCATTTGCTTTCTAGACTCATTTTTTGCAGTCAGATTTACACAACAGATTTTTCAAATTTATTTGTTGGTTTCAAGCTGTAAAACGTTATAATATGTGTATGCATGAGTCTGTGCATCTGTGTGAAAACTAAAAACTATCAATAATAATGGGCTTGCTTTATCTTAAGTTATGTAGGCATACTGTAATTTATGTCCTTCCCTTTTGACACTATAATCTTTTCACAGCAATGTCACATGCAGTTTAATTCTTTTTCTCCTCTGTATTTTCGATTTAATTGCTATAATCAGTGCAAATACTTCCTCATTTACATGCATTTCCCTCTGTGCAAGCATATGCATACAGATCTACAGAAAACAGTTTCTCCAAATGCAATTCAAATCACCAGAGTGAAGTATCTAATAGCAAGTGACGCAACTGAAGGAAGAAAGAAAAAAAAAAAAAAAAAAAAAAAGACAAGATAGAATCTTTCCTTGTCAACATATACATAAAGCATTCTATACTTTCCAAAACAAAATTAGTGAGGGACTTCCGCATGTGATTATTTTTTTCAGTTTTGTTATATTATTATTCGTTTTCTGATAGTGTTCAACAAACAAATAGCTAAGCCCATTAGCAGCTTTAATGTTCTTTATCATTCTAGCTCACCTCAGAGGTAAAAATTTATGCTAATTCTGTGGGTGGGGAATTGCCTCAATTCAGAAAGCATCTATCATCTATCATATGTGAACTTAATTAGATTGCATTCTAATATAAAACATACAATTTTAAAATGGGCATGTTTTCATCAATATTTCCATTACAATGCATGGCTTTTCTCTGATGATTTCAGTATAATGTCTACTTTTAAAAGATTTAACAAGTAGATCTTTGAAATATAAAGTTGTAATTCTTATTGATATGATGGCTCAGTTTTGCCCTAAAGCATAGCTACATCAGAAAAAGGCTTTACTTTGATATTTCCTAAAACTGCATAAATGCCTACAGTTTTTTTTATTGTTTATTAAATAAAACTATAGTTAAGTTTAAATAAGTCTTCCAGGTGTTGACTCACATACCTTGAGCCTGTACTGCTTAACCATATTTTTTTATGTGCATAAAAAGTGCCTGAAGTATTCTTTGTATAAATCAATCCATGCATTAATTAAGCGTTTTCTTTCCTAATTCAAGGATTTTCCAAATCGCCAAATTCTAATGTGAGTTAGCATAAGCACAAAAAATTCTGTCTGAAGGGAGAGTTGAAAATCTGTTTTGGAAATAATCATGGAGCTCTATTACCACCAATTGGTATTTCTGTACATATTTTCTGCAAAAATTGGGCAATACTGCTCACTGATTTTGTGTCCTAGCACAACAAAATTATGTTCTGTATTTTTCCAAATTTGTAATTACAGGTGCAAGAATAGAACTCAGACTCTAAATATAAACTCCATCTAAATATAAAATAAAAAAGTCTTCAACTATTGCTGCTGGACATCAGTATTCAACATGGCCACTTTATTAATTTTTGTTATGCTTATCTGTCTTTTTGCAGGTAGCAGTTTGTCTATGAATCACCTACACTTTCCATATAAACATTTTAATTTTTCATGGTTATTCAAGTAGCAATTCTCAAACGTACTGGGCTCATGACTCTACTATTCAGAATATCCTCCTTATTATTTGAGAACTGCAGTGCAGTTTTTATCTTTTGTCACATTGAGACATAAAACATATTTCATCCAGTAGATGACTTAAATCCCATGGAAAGTAACAAGACTTTTAAATTCTAGGCTTTGAATGACATTTAAATATGTATATTAGCTCTAGGTTTTGGCCTAGCAAATATGAAAAGAACAATCAGATTTATTTCTATTTTACAGACTTAATTTTCATTTCATTCTTGTATTTGCATTTAAAAAGAGTGAAAAGGAGTTTAAAAGTGCTTCTCATATGCTTGTTTGTATGTGCTTGTTTGCATATAAACACTTCTGTTGGTGTGCTAATACAGCCATATTTACATGAATGGTTCTTTCCTAAACATTTATTTTAACAAAAGGCTGATTCCTCAAAGCACATGGAAAAGTAAAGGAGGTCCGGTACAAACGTCATTGAATCAAATTGCTGGATTTAGCAATCATGTTTATGAATATGTTATTTCACTTTTTACCCAGTACTAACCAAAAGGGAGATAGATCCTTTCTAAATATACATACTTTACAATATAGCTGTAGAGAAATCTTCTTTTAGATTGCCATGTAACATTGAAGTAGAAATTAAAAATAATAATAATAATAAAAGATCAGAAGTATTTCTTTTTAAAATTTGGGGTAGGCTCATTTTACATTTATTTTGAATAAAAGAGCAAGTATCAGCTACTGAATTACTCACAGAAGTACTATCCCTTAATTTGTCTGGAGATTACAGTCATGGTTTTCAGAACCATACAATTCACATTATGTCTTAAACTATTATTATTGCAACTAGGGAAAATTGCACTATTTTCTTGGAAAGACATTACTCTCTTGGACCTGATTCTTAACTGTCGAACTTAGCCCCTGTTTGAGGTCTTGAAAAAAACGGATCATTTAGAGGAACCCATTCACATAGTTGGAATATATGCTGTTGCGATAAATTCAGAGGCTTTAGCTGCAGTTTGCTTTTAGTTAGGGCTACACAGGGAAGGAACAAAAAAATCTTTGCATACTTATTTTTTATATGTATATTCCCTATTACATAATTATAAATACCTGGCACTTTTTAAATTTAGTATCTTTTTTTTTTTTTTTTTTAATTTGAATCACTTCAGATAATGTGATATAGGAAATAGAGTAAATTTAATAGTGGCAAGTCAAAATTTAATTGCAAAAGCTGTAAAATGTCACCTAATTTAAACTGAAAATTTTGAATTGTTTTCTGAATACAAACTGATAAGCAAGCACCAGAGAAAGTAATATGTTTATTTCAGAAGTATAGCAAATATACACTATAACATTACTGTAGGTATCACCAGATGGCACTATTACAAATAGTTGATGTATCTTAGCAGTTGGTTAGAAATGGGTGACAAAAGTTGTGCAAAAGAAAGAAGAAACAGGGATACTGTGTGCAGTTGCATATTAGCATTGCTGCTTCTTCTGACATCCTGTTCTGATGGTGAACACAGCATTACAGGGTTTGGGGTCATCACGATAAGAAAGCAGAAATCAATGACACTTCTGTCTTGGTAAACAACCCAGTTCTTGGCAGATACCATCATTACAGTTTTATGTCAAAAGTATTATGACAATAGCTTCACTGTAAAATGAATTACAGAGCATGGGTCCAATTTAACAAAACACAGAGTGCCATATCTTGGACTGATAGGAAAAAATGATGATATTCAACATCTCACTTCAGAGATGACCCTTTGAACCAGACTTTCTACAGCTTTGCAACAACTGTGTTTTAATATGGGACACAACCTCATTCAATCTAGTCTAGTTTCTTTAACGATCTTCTAATGATGATGATTGTAGTGTTTACAGCCACTACAGCTGGGGAAGAAGGTAATGAATTTTAGTTAAGTTTTGTCCAAATTTACAACTAAAAATGAGTAAGTAGGGACAGAATGAGCAAACTTTCCTGGGATAACCAGCAGATGTTTCATAGACCTGATATTTCCATAGAGGAAATATACTCATAACTACTTAAAAATTAAAAAAAGCTATTGAGATGAAATTATTTGATCACATTGTCATACAAATCCCAGCATTTAGTGGGTGGTGATAGGACTAGTGCCCTAACTACATCTGAAAAACCTAAATCCACTTCCAGTTTTTGTTTATTTTCTATTATTTGCTGAGTGTTTTTCTTTATGTTGTTGAGTGATGCTATGAAAGAAGGCAAGAGTGTGTTTTTATATATGCTTGTATTGACTTTCCAGCCTCAACTGTTAGTTTTTCTTTAAGGACATGTTGCAGTACTGGAACACTGGGAGAAAACCAACAGCAAGAAATCCAATACAACTTTAGAGGACTATTTCACACAAACATGTTTACATTTATTTATGGATGTTTCCTGCTTATGACAATTCTGTTAGTAGCAGACCAAGGAAACTTCAGTGACATGTGACATCACTAGATGTAGATTTGTTCTACCAAATCATTCCTAATCTAAAGTAAGTTAATTTCCAGAAGGTGCTTATGCCTGCTTTAAGCATTAGTGACATGGTTATCCTTTGAGGTGTAGCCTGTAGGTCAAGGAAGATTAGCTTTTTATGCCGATATGGTCTCTCTAGATGTACTTAGGTGTAATCCCCAGCAGGGATGTCACATGTCTCCTGAGTCTGATAGCAGATAAGGGATTGCTTAGTTGGAGTCTCCATAGGAGCCATTATTATTACTCTAAAACAGAGTTTTAGATCAGACTGCATATTAGTGCTACAAATGTCCATGTAGCACTACAGAGCGTAGCACTTCCTGTAACAGAGGAAAAGTACAGAGCAGCAGGAGTGATAAATCACCTCCCCTTCTGCATCCCACATACCCACATTGAACAAGTTGACAAAAGCTGATAAACAGGGTAGCACTTGAAAGTAGCAATTGTGCTGAACTCACTAGATCAGGAGATTCTGGGATTTAGATCACGTTATCAAAGCAACAAACTGAAAACAATCCCAGTCCAGAGGATGCCTTAACAATGCTTTAGAAATACTGTGATCTGTGAAAGAAAAACAAATAAACAAAAAATGCTGTGTTTGCATTATATCAGTTCTGGTCTCACCAGTACCAAGAAAAGCAGATAGGAAGAAAGTAATAGATCTGGGGCAAAAAGCTTGAAATTTTGAACCAGAAAATCCTGACAATGACATGCTTAGAGATAAAACTGTGTTCAGCGTCACTGATAAATCACTTGTGTAAAGGTGTCTGAGGAAGACTGATCTGGGCATGCAGAAAGACATAATCTGCAGAACTGAAGTGCTGCACAGACAGAGATCAGGTCTGCACTGTAGTCTGAAATTTGCATAGGCATGTGGGCCCAGGGGTCCTTGAGTCACAGTAGAAAAACTTGCATGCCTCATACATGGATAGAAACATTACCACAGGTTTGTGCAAATTTTCTGTCACAAATCCAGCATGTGTAACCACTATTCTTGCTTTTCAAAACAACAAATACACCCCAGGGAAAAAGCCACAAATCCCTGGCTGAACTCAGATGTGACTAATCTCTTGTGGGTGCAGTATCATAAAATAGGACAAACTCTACAGCACATGCAGAAAGTACTCCAAGAAATGTACTCAAAGTTAAGCATAGCAGCTGAGTTTCAGCTTTTAAAATAGACTCCATATCCCAGTCCAGATAAAGAAACTAAATGAACTACCTGTGCAGTAATGGAGTCCCAGGTAAAACTCTGAGGTCACCTGAACAAGGCAATGGCTGAAGAAAAGCTGATCTTTGACCCTTTGGGAGTATCTCGGAGGCCAGTGTAACTCAAACACAAGGTTTTAAGGCAAAGCAGACATGAAACTTCACAGAACACTGACCACACCCAAAAGTCTTCCAGGAATTAGTAGTCTCCCTTAAGGAGCACCACATATATCTGCATTCATCAGACTGTGCCAGGCACAGCTGTACTTTTGCAGTGACAGACCTGTTCAAAACAGCAGATAAGGAAACAAGGGAGTATAGACAAAAATATTCAGTCTGTTTGTTAACAGCATCACATCAGACAAAAAACGGTGAAACTTGAACATACCTGAGTTCCAGCAGTTTCAGGAAGGCTAAGCTGTGATAGTAAATGGTCAAAGCCAACTGGCCTGCTAAAAGTAATCCCAGTAGGAGGGATGGATACTGACAAGTCAGATTAGATGAAAAATGATATTAACTGTGCACTTTCAGTACACCCTGGGGCAGAAACACGTTTCTCTGCTTACCTTTTGGAGTAAGGTCAGTGAATGAAGTGTTTCAACAAAAGAACAAAGACTACTTGGAAACCTTACAGGCATCCAGAAAATAACTGATGACATAGGAATAGCAGCATCAATTCTGATGAAACACATCAGTGCTGAGAGAAGTGATGACGGGCTCACAGAGAAAATACTGAGTTTGGGACAGATAAGATCCAGTTCATGGTAACACAAATCAATGACACTGGACAAAATTTCATCAGGAAAACAAACAAGAGGACAGCAAACTCTGACCATATCATACATGAAATCTTCACAGGACAAAACAGACAACAAAATATTATATAAGTCCTTCCTTAGATACTTCATACTGTTGAAGTAAGTATTTAGGGATGATTTCTCATTACAGATGATATACTTCTTTTTGCTCCCCCGTAGCATGAGACACTAGGTCACGGATTTGGGAATGACAAGACACTGCTATAAATAATGGCAGCTCTCGCTACTATCCTGTGTCAAATTGCAATGCCCCAGCAAGTAAGACATCATTCATACAGGTGCATAGAAAGATAGTCAAAGGTTTTCTCCACTTAAAAAATAAAATTAAATTAAAAAGTTCATATGTTGCATTGAGAAAGCTACCCTGCAGTGTAACACAGAAGCAGATGATCAGCACAAAGCCCAGCCTTAAGTGGCAATTTGCTAAACACCCTGAAAGAAATATATCCTTTAATGTCAGCATTACACAAGCTGTCAGTGGGAGCTGTCTGAAAAAAGACAAGAAATGAATTTCAGATCACAATTTAACCAATTTGTTTCTGTGGAACTTTCCATCCTTTCCATGCACTAGGTGGTTTGAATATAGTAATGAGCTTTTAAGGAGGTGCTAGGTCTCTCCAGGCCTTCTACCTCTTAAGATTGTTCCGTGAGGTTTTGTCTGCTGATTTCCTGACCGTGTTGAAGTCTGCCTTCTTGAGACTTATTGAGAATTAAATACAGAAACAGATGAGCCCAATGTTAGGGATTAATCAGCAAGCTGCCAGAATTTCTGCAGTTGTCTGCTCGTGCTGCAAGCCTCATGGGGAGATGCCATTTGAGAAGTTGTTTAGTTACAGGCTTTTGAGTGAAGAAAGGACAATGTCATGTTGTGACTGAGTACTCTGCGAAATTAGCCACCTATCATCAGGAATGTGGTGACAGATCTCTTCAAATGAAGCAAAATGTGCCTCAGACATGTTAAGGAATATCTTCAAGAACTTTTGCTTTTCCTCCAAGTTGCTAATAAAGAGTTTAAACTCTGTGTTTTTGCCCATCCTGATGAAAAGGCCATGAAGCAGTTAAGAGTGTGCAACCGACATCTCAGGAACTTTTAGCAGCTCCCTGCGCCTTGAGTCATTCACCAGAGGAAACTGCCTGGAGGAATGACAAAACCGTTGTGCGGCAGTTCAGGCAGAAGAGAGACACGCATCCTAGCTTCTGAGGCAGATGTCACAAACATTTAAACAGCTGTCAGAACCAGCTCAGGCTGTCATCAGGCTTGACCTTAAACCCAGTTTAGTTTTTAAATGTTGGGGGGGAGGGGGGGAGGTGGAATTCAACGCAGTGAAGTTACACAGCTGCTTGAAATATTAAATGAAAGGACTGAACATCTGTTCACTTGCTTTTCAAACTTTAATGGTTTGGAGAGATATTCTGTTGTCTTAGATCTTTAAGAACATCTGAGACCCATGCAGCTTCAGCACCTGTGAAAAATCCCCTCTCAAAACATGCATGCACTTCAAAGCTTATTACTCCTGTTCTTTGCCAAACATATGTTGCCAAACACCACAACAAATTATTAATAATACTTAGGTCGCATTTGACTTTTGTGCAGCAAATTTCCTGAGCGAGCACCAAAATACTAGTTAAGCATCAGCAACCTTGCAATGCACAAAGAAATAGAGAATCATTTAGTAGGAAATAAGAGAAGTGTTATATTGATCCATTTTTGGTTTGCATTTGTTTTTGGAATTTTTAGTTGCTCTTTCCTTTTCACTTGAAATTTTAAACTAATTATAGTTTGCCAGAATCAGGCACAATGTATAATGAACTTGCAAGCTTCCTGACACAGGATATTATTGACATAGTTAAGGGAATTATGAGTGGGTACAGGAGGGAAGTATTAGGCATTTCTATGCGTAAGAATAGCCTCTACAGTTAAACTATATGGCTTATATTTATATTGGCCAACAAACCTTGTGTTCCAGGACATAGGAAGTAAAATAGAGAGCAAAGAAATCTGCAGATAGATCACTGTAATTTTAGAGCTAGATGTTTGCAGTGTGCTTCTGGGACCAAATATATAGTACAAAATTACACTTTGCATATTTTTGCAATACAAGACTTCAAGAGGAGGCAGAAAGTGAAAAGAAAAAACTGGTCAGCAAGATTTCTGTTTATATTTCTGTTTTCATTTCTAATGGGTTTCCACTGAAAGTATTTATTATCACTCTGCAGGGTTTCTTTTTGTTAGCATAACTCACAGATTCAACTATGAAATTTCAGCATGCAATATAAGATTACAAACTTTAATTCACTTACTTTTCCACATCTAGATTATGAATTTTCATTTAATGAATATATAAATGTAGGTGATATTTCTTTCTCTATGTAATGTTAAAAAGGAAAAGCATAAGGCCATAGAGACACACTGCCTAAATGGAAAGCCATGTTAATCTTCCTGCCATTCATGCATTGCAATGTATTTTTAATGTTTTGTAAGTTGAGGGTTCAAATGGAAAAAAAAAAAAAGTATACCAGCAAAAGTAAATAGGTAGAATTAATAATGATGATACTGATAATAATAGCATTAATAATGCAAATCCCATATAAGTCTCTTCAAATTTTATGAAAGAGATAATGCAATTTCTATAAATAAATAAATAAAAGAACACGTCCTAAAACCATTAATAAATCTTCATTAAAATTTTAAACAATGAATTCTAAGTAAGAGGGTGAAGAGTGGAGGATTAAAAAGCATTGGCATTGTATACAAAGTAATTAATCAGACCAAGGGGCAAGTGTTTCTAAGACAAACACAAACTATGAAGAAAGTTTAGTAGTTGGGGGAAAGGGGCTATTAAAGATGGAAGAAATTATATGGACAAAAAACAGTTTAGAAAATGTTACACATTGTGTTCCACTGAAGAATATAAATTAATTATTGGTTATTTATACAAAGGAACCAACATTATTAGGTATAAATTTATGAAATGAAAACTAAATGGCAAATAGAAGGCAAATTTACTACCCAGCATCATTTTTGACTTGTGGTGCCACTTGTGTTCCCATCCTGGTATATATACACTTACCATTTACAGAACACTCATACAAAATGAAAACAAAACAAAACAAAACAAAAACTTAAATCTGCCATATCCTACATGAAATTAATTCAAAAACAAACAAACAACACAGAAAGTACAGCTTAATAATGAAGTGTTAGATAGTGTGAAAATAAACCAACAAAGATAAGAAAAACATTGATTTGTGAAGACATACTGTTTGAAAGTAATCCTTTGTTGTCTGAAAGCTGAGGCTTAGATGCAGTACATTTCAGATATTAGAAATATTTTGCCCTGATACATGTACTCAGCTATAAGACTACAGATAGCATCCCCTGATTACAAATATAGCCTATATAATAGCAATTTATTGAGCTGTGCAGTTTTAGATGCCATTCCACATTTAACTACTGTGATGGAAGACCTCTGTGATATTCATTCCAACACTGACACCCTCAAGTCATATTTCTTCTCTTGTCACAAAGTATTTATTTTTATCAGCAGCTTGTCATTCAAGTGTATTAAAAAAAAAGTGGAGAAATGGGCAGTTGTGGAGCCTCTATGTCAACTGTGAAGATAATGTCTCTCAATTTAGTGCCACTATTTGGTTATTATACATTCATAAATAATCAAATATCAGTTCAAAGACTCCAGGCATCAGAACTGAGAGAGGGGACTGAAAGCATAGGTGGTATTGAATTTTTCACTTACTCTCACAAAACAAGTCATCCTGTTAATAATCTGGCTCTCATCCCAGCCAGACATAACACATTTTGAAGTTGTCTTTCTCCCTGGCTGTGTCAGAATTGGCAGCTATATTCACAAGTAGAAAGTTTCCAAGTGGTCAGACAGGTCTGCTTTGTTTTCTTGCCCCCACTCCACAGATTTCTGCAGTGCTGGTGGATAGAAGAGGAGAACAAAAGCAGCTGGCATATCTGCAATTGTACATCAGCTTGGTATCATGTGAGTATGAACTCAGAAAGGGGGGCATAATGCAGTCAGGGGTGGCGGGCAGCAGAGATCCATAACAACTCCATAACACTGATAGTAAGGAAATTGTACTTGAGCTCCTAGTATTTGTGACTATGTTTAGTTGCATACTTGTGCTGCAGCAATGAAGGAATATGGCTTACAATTTTCCATAGCCATGCCTATGGTCAGATATGGTTCACCTCCATTTGCATACATGTTCATCAGATATGAAACTGTCACCAACCTCTGCCAGTTCTTCAGGCATGTCAAAAGAAAGTTACCAATGCAAATCAGAATTATACCTTCTGTATTACACAGAACTAGAACTCAGGCCACAGACATCTCATTATGCACTGAAATCAAAATTTTGTATACCTTAGGAGACCGATACTAAAGGCTTTATCTGAAAAGGTATACACCCTGTACATACAACAAACATATAAGGTCAGTAACTACATCCCCAAATGTGGTATACAGATTTATTAAGCACTGTAACTCCTATTCTATGCTATGGAAAATATGTATTTAATTTTATCTACTTCAGTATACTTTCTAGATAATGTGACTTTGCTTTGCACATTGAGTATATGAACCCTCTTAATATCTTTCTTCATAAAATCTTTGACAATATGTTCAGGATAGTTGAGGAGTGCATGAATAGACCTAAGCCAAAACCAGCTGGTTTTAAGCCCTCTAATGAACGGCTACCCTGTTCTGCAAGCCAAATCTGAAAATGCTATACCTTTCTGACAGCAAGTGTAGGAGCCTGTGAATTCCTGCTTCTGCTGTGCTTGAGTCCAGCCCACTGGCCTGCCTGGGAGTCTGCAAACCAGGCACCACTCTGCCTTTTATCACCATCACCTGAAAGTCCCAAACCAAGAGAGAGTAGATTAATGCTTAGGAAAATACTACCCAAAAATGTCCAACTCCTTCCAGGTGTTTTTTGTTCTTGTTGTTATTTTTTTTTTTCATTTTAATTTTTAAGAAATTTTGGTCAACCTTTCTTTAAAATTACTCCTGGGTTGGCTGTTTTCTGGCATTCTCCAAATATGCTCTGCCTACTGTTTTTCTTCCATGGAAAGTCCTGAAGCATCCCAGAATATTCTAACATACAGCAGGACACCAGTATTCGTTTAGCACAGCTCCCTAACAGTACAGTACAATAGACATTTACAGTGCTGTAAAATTAAGCTAATGTGCTTAGTAAATCTGTTCTAGAAAGGTTACAGAATGTGGTGCTTTTATCATTACAGGTGAAACATGGCTTCTATACATTTGACATTTTGGAGTGTTTTTTCATAGATCCTAAAAGGTCTTTTTGTCATATAATTATCTAAAACTCGTTCCCTTAGGAGACCTAAAAATGAACAGCTTCTCTGTTCATATGCATCAATTTGCCTCCATAGAATACTGATCCTAACGAGGCTTCTCTTGCTCTACATCCCACTGGATGTAGACATATATTTTGTGATTTTATATATACCTGTATGCGTACGATCTCTTCCCACCTTGCAAAGGTGAGGGGGAGGATTGTAAATTACTTTATTTCATTTTAGTCTGAAATATAAACTTTTGTGAAAGCATTTGTATTTCTGCTCTTTCCCAAAGCATCACAATGCTGTAAGGGTATCAAAGATACCATTCGCATTTTACTTGTGTCTTTCTGGAGGTGTCAGGGACATATTATATTGTGCACTGCAGTTGGAGCATGTATTTACATGTGAAATTTTATACTCATTTTTGAATAACGTACTACGGATGGCTATATTGAGAAAAAAGCTTTGATCGTTATTGTTGCTAACAACAATATTAATACTAATGTGCAGTATTCTTAACAAAACATATCACAGGATATTTAACAATTCAAATACAATTAAAAAAGCAACATCAAATAAACATTTGATTTTGATATAAAACACAAGTGATACAGCTCCCTGAACACACACCAAATTAAGAATATTAGAAAACAACATCCTAGGGCTTAGTTTCCTCTCTGTGCAAGCAGGACTCAGAGCAGCACACAAAGGACCGAGGTTCGTCTTGACCTGTGAAAGATGGGTGGAGTTCAGCTCACAAATCCTGTGCCTCTCAGAGCATCTTAGCCCCTTAGCATCTTAGCTCACACTGCTACCCGAACCCCTTTCACAATGCCCAGATGCTTCCCTCCACTCTTTTTCTGAACCATCATCTAGTTTTCCAAGGTCCATTAGCTCCACCCTAAAGAAAGCATGTGTTGGCAATGTGATTTCCCTAGCAGTAGTGGCTTTACCTGATGACAGAGGATATCCAGGTGTGGCTGAAGATCACAGAGCACCTGGTTCAGAAATCTCATTGTTGCTGCCACCGGAGAAAACATGATTCCAATCTGAATGTCATGATTCAGTCAAAGCAGGAAAAGCTCTTAGAAGAAAAAAAAGCTAATGTTTATTTACAAACTGAACAAATGTATACAGAAACTCACTGCAAGGCAAGAACTGCAATGCATAGCACCATTGTTTTCTGAGTATCACTCTAATTTAAGATCTTATATTGATTTGACAGCCTTACAAATATTTTCCTTGCTTCCTTAATTCACATATACATGCAGAATTCCACTTTCTTTGAACTTATTATTTGACTGTACTTTTTCAGAGGGTCAGACTGAAGGCTCTGCTCTTCAGACATCTATTTTATTTCTTAAAATCAACACGATTATTGCAAAGTGAAAAGAAAGCTTCAGAATGTAATATATCACAGATGAAAAATTTACAGGAAGCTGCACTGCATCATCCTGGTTGATAAATTACATGTTATGGTACACTGTAGCCCCTCCCAGTAGTACTCCAAATATTGTATATTGGTTTTGTATTTCTTGGGAAGAATGCTTTTTTTCTTGTGAGTCACTGACTCCAGCAGAAGTTATGCAACATTCGAATAATACCAGAAAAGTTAAAAGAAAAGAAAAACAAAACAAAGCAAAACAATAAACAAACAAACAAACAAAAAACACCAAAGAAATGGTTGCATGCCAGAAGAAATGAACGTAATAGACTTACCCATGAGCCTGAATTTGCCCTGCAGTCTCGTACAAAGCTTTTCAATAATTCTGCTCCAGGCATTCGTGTTGAACCAGCATTTGCTGTCAGCAGGCAGGAGGGGTCATGCTCAGAGCAATCTCTCTTTTCCAGAAGGGAGGAGGTGTTTTGGAAACCATCACAGGTGCTTCCACGGAGTTGGTCTCACTTGGGCATGGTCCCGCACTGGGGAAGCTGGAAGGCATCACTGCTCTAAGGAAACCCCACTTACATCTTCATTGGCAGGAGCAAGGCAAGGCATTAAGATGTCTGTTACAGAGTGCATCCAGGCATGGGGAGGCTGTTCTGGCTAAACAAAATAACATTACATGCCTTTGAACATATATCACATACCACAGGCAATGCATTCCTGGGATCTCCTTCTTAAAATACTGGCGACATTTTGTTAGTTTTATTCTGGCCTCAGGAACTTTCCGCCCTGGATGGTTCATTTATGTTTACTTTATATAAAGGCTGTGTTTGTTAGGAAAAGAGTGAAATTCTCACGGCGACAGGTGAAGTGTTCAAGGAAGCCATACATGCTTTCCTAGCTATGGAGCATAAAATTATGCAGTAATGTAATTACACAAAGGAAATCTTGGCACAAATATATATTCAATTATCCCATATTCTATCTGAAATAGGACTTATGCTTCCAAACACAGAGAGAATTATTCTGATGGAAAGGAAGGTGCTTCATTAATGTGTCAGGGCTAAAAAGGAAATGTATACATTTCTTCAACACCTGAAAACTATTGTGTATTTGTTGCTCTGCCCTAATTTACACACAATTTAATGTATTTATTCATGCTTTCAGAGTGATGTGGTTCCTAACTACTTCTGTGGGAAAGAACTGTGGAAAAGAAAAAGTTATTTGGTAAACTATCAGGACTTGGGATAGGAATTAAGGGATCCCACATTGCTTATAATAAGAAAATAGGAAATCCAACACTGAGGGATTAATCAGAAGGGTAAAATTTACTGTAGTTCCAGCCAGTGCCCAGTGTAACTGAAAAACTAAAATATCTGGACTTCAGAGATGGGTGGGAAAAAAATAATAAAAATAAGTGGATGCTGGATGCTTTCTCTAGAAGGGCTCTCAAATGCTGATGAATTGGTACCATGCTTGCACCGTTTTTCATGTGAGAAGAGGTAAGAGGCACTGGCCAGGGTGGGCTGGAAGAAGATATAGGATCCATAGCAGTTCCATGCAAATGTTTTGTAAGCCAGAAGTGAAGGATATACATGTTATGGCAGCTACTCTGATTTTTTTTTCCCTTCACTCTACATCATTTTTCAAAGAGGTTCAATATTTAGAAATGTTCATGAGTTTTCAGGATGACATAAAGCAATTCAGAAGACCTGTGTGTATAGTATTTTGAGATCCAGCAGTGTAGTGTGGTGCACCTATAAGTGCAATATTTGCTAAAGGAAAATATGCCTTTTTTAGAAGAATGTTAAAAATTGTTTCTACTTAAGTCATACAAGAAGATTTCTTATAAAATGATACAAATGACTTTTTTTTTGTTGTTGTTGTATGTCCTATGTGCACAGTATGTAAACCTATTAGCTGAAGCAAGTGAAAACCCAAAGCTCAACCTCTGAAGAGCTGGCATTCACTCAGAAAAGTCTTAATAGGTTTGGCAGGAAATTCAAAAATATTTTATCTGGACTGTCTCAGCAGTATAAAGCTGCAACATTTAGTGAGAATAGCAACTAAAAAAAAAAACTATTAGTAAAGGGAGGAAAAGCAATTCTAAAGACGTAAAATATGGCTGGCATGATTTCTGCTTTTACAGATATGCTGAGAAAAAATAAATAATGGCAAGTAAATACATTTACTGACACTCTTCTGATCTGTGTCTAATTAGTCTTTGCAGAGAAAATGGTGGATTAATACTATCCCTTGTCTAACACCCTGACAACATTACAATACAGTAGTAGTTTAGTAAACTGTTTATGGGGGGAGGTTGTTTCTAGTTACTCCTCTTAGTTAATATGGTGGTCAGAGGACCAACAGAAAAGATACGGCAACAGCAAAAATGGAGTCTGCAAAATCTTATTTTTGGCAATTGTTGGCTCTTTTCACCAAAAAACAGTAATGATTACTAGTAGTATCACTTTTTTCCTGCATTTCCTTGCTGCTCTTATCCCACCAGTCAAATTGGGCCTCTACTTCCACTGCACCTCCTTTAATGAGCCTCCAGATTGGGTAAAATGAATTTGTATCAGATAATAAGCTAGACCTTCCCTTTCCTTCTTTTTCTCCACCAGAACCATTGTAACTAAGCAGCTTTCAAATGTGTAAACAGGAACTTCTCTACCACTGGTTTTTTGAACCAAGAGTCACTGCTTCCCTTTACCTAGTAAGTCACCAGACATGACAGAAGCACACAAATATTTTATTTTCTCATTTAAGACTAAACAACAACTCCATGGTTGATTAGGTTCTTTTTTTTTTTTTTTTTTTTTTTTCCTTACAAAAGACAATTCCTTGGTGAACTTTTGATACATTCTTGATGTGTAGATTTGTTAATTGTTCAAAGGACACGTTATGTTAAATGAAGATGAAGAGATGTTAAATGAAGATGAAGAGAAGAGCTATTTCAGTCCAGCTAAGAATGCTCCATTAAAACATGATGGATATACCTTGGAGGGGAACAACTGGTGATGGTTGTTCATTTAGAAATTACCAGAGAGAAGTTTAAAACATGAATATTTTTATCTTTTGAATAAATATTATGTATTCAGCTAAATTGATCATATGTGGAAAGCATTTTATGTTTAGGCTTACTGAAAAAGAATACTGATGTGACCTCTCAAACCTTCTTCCCTGGCCTCAGGTTCTGGTTTCACAACAGACCTATTCTGGGATAAGTTTCATTATTTGTCACTTTTCTTTATTTACAAGAACAACAGAAAAAACAACAGCAGCAGCAACAACAGCACGTTAGAATTTGCCTCATGGGAATACACTTGGACTCAAAATTTTTTCCTAGAAACTTTGAAAATAAACCCAAATTATGAAAATCTTTCAGTTAGGAAATAATCAACAATGACTGCTCGTTTAATAGTTTATTTTTCCTTTACGTTTTTTTAACATCCCTGATAGAAGTATTCCTACAGATCAAATACTTGTGGCAGTATGGAACCTACTGAAGATGGCATGTTTTTTCTGTGATACAGCCAACAAATTGTGATCTACTAGGTTGTACTTGGTGTAACTATACCACACAGTATATATGTGACCACCAGAATATTCTCCACTCCATCTGAATAATTTTTGGAAAAATGTTATTTCTGACCAGTTTGGAACAATTTGTACTGAATTACTGAGTTTCAAAAACATGGTACTAATAAATTGTAAGCAATAGAAATTATAACTTTCTATTTCCTTCCCAGGTGACAAGTAATATTGAAAAAGAGCTTGCAATACTTGATTATTTGTTCCCCAAATACTCGTGTTTTATGGCTTTAAGTGTTGAGGGACTGTTTTCTCTCCTGAAATTGTTTCTGGTTTTCATTAACTCTACTTTTAATTCACAAAATAAATATCAGAAAGGACCAATGGTGTTATGATTCTCATGTAAACTACAAGCCTCTTCTCTATTAACAAAAGAAAACAAAATTCTGCTGCTTCTTCTGAAAACTAAGATAACAACCTAATACCACACTTTCTTCCCACTCTTCCTATTACTTCAAGCAGCTAACAGTAGAAAAATACCTCTGTTTATAAGGAAGACCTTATCCCTCTCGCAATGTTTCCTTCCTAGATACAGGAATATTTTTTCCCATTATAACAAACATGGGTTGATACTTGCCAATATATTTTTTTTTCCAGAATCCTTTTTATTCAGGTCTTTAGCATACTGCATGCCCAGGCAAGGTAGCAAAAAACTGAGATAAGAATTTATTATAACATCTCTAGAGGATGACACATTTGGGGCCTTGCAGATGCAAATAACACCAGTTGCTGGTTGGGGCAGTATTAAGACATATTACACCTAAATTGATTCTAGCAGCAATTACGTTAGTATGCTGGAAAGAAATGGGGGAGAGCAGAGAGGCGAATCTGACATAATTTGGGCCATCAGTTGGACAAAAGCTGATGTAGTGATGTTAACTTCAAAAAATGTCTCTGGAGAGCCTCAAAAGGCACATAGATAACTTGATTAAGATCAAAAAAGATAGGAAATGCTGCCTGTCAGTGCTATGGGCTTCAGAACTACTCCCAATATATAACTTGAACTGTTATTTACTGTCTTGATCTTGTTGTACAGTCCCAAAGGTCCACAGAAGACACATTTATACAGTGCAATCACCACATCCCTATTAAATCATTGGTGAGAATCTATTTCAATTTCTTTTTCACCTTCGGCTGCTTGACCACAGACCATGCAGACATGATTTAGAAATCCATTGGCTAGTCCTTATATCACCAGGGTCAGACAATCCCTGGCTAGCATAAATAATAGAGACTTCAAAAACAGTCTAATTTTGCTTGTTAACGCTTTAGGTTATCCCTGCAGTGATTCCTCTTCCATTTTACGTATATAAAAATGTTACAAATTCACATTTCGGGTTAGTTTTCTTTGCTTCATAAAGGGATGTTTCCCCTCTTTTAAATTCATTCATTTAAAGACCTGAAAACTTGTAATAAAAGACCCCCCCACACACCTCCCCACCCAACCCCATGCCCCACAAAAAAAAATAAATGATGTTTGATGCTCCAGAGAGCCTTCAGCATTCATTACAGAGTCAACCAGAGCTTCATTACATATCAGCCTAGCATGTGTATATGTAGTACCAAGTGCTGGCCTCAGGAGCTCCCTTAGGCGATGTTCTATAGGTTTCTTTCATCTGTCATTTTGCTTTGACTTGAGGCGATTATCACTTTTATCATTGACAATAGAAAACTCATTCCTGTGTGCATTTCATTTTCATTATTCCTTGCCCCATGAGATTGACTGACACACACAGATTCTTTTTCATCTTTTAAAGTATTGTAATTAATCATTTTAAATTCTCGCCTTGGAGTGTTCTTTTATTAGCATTGTTGAAAGAAATCAAATTAAAACTGTGTATTGGTACTGAGAAAAACTTGCTGGGCTATCGAGGCCTAGTAGCAAAAGACTAATCTCATACGTTTTACACTGCTTTCACTTTGCTGCCCTGAATATACTTTCCTGATTTTCATTAGCATGAGCATTATGAATGTGGGCCAGGGCATGCCTAATGTTTTAAGGCATCAGGTACAAAAAGCTAAAAGAAACAGCTTTTTGTTTGTTTGTTTTTTATTGATGGGAACATCACCTGAGGTTTCTGAATCTTAAAGTTAGTGCAGGTAGTTATGAAACAACTTTGAAAATGAGGAAGAATGATCTTAAATCTTCAGTGCTGGTCTGAGACTGAGAAGACCCGGGTTACTGCCTGTATCATGGGCTTCAAAAGCTATCTTGAGCAAGTGACAAGCTCTCTTCCTGGTTTCCACCTGCAAAATTAAGATATGAGTGCTCCTTCATCCCTCTTTGCTTCTTTTGTTTAGGTTGTGAGCTCTTTTGTACAGAAACAGCCTCTTCTAATTGGCAAGAACTGTGCCTACCACATTCTCACTTAAGCACTAATGTCATACACACAATAATCACATGCCACTGCTTTAATAGTTACTGCGTGCACATTAAATTATCTGAGAGAGACAGCCCTGACAGAAGTACGGAGAAGCCCTGCTCCTGTAGGAGCTACCTACAGGAAGCCCTGCTGCTGTAGGAGCAGGGATGGTCCTCTCCTCTCCACACAGAGGGACAAATTGCCATAGTAACAACCATCAGCACTAAGGCAGTGACAGGGCCTCGCTGGAATTCAGGGGCAGAAGCAGTACAAATGTAATAGCAATACTGCTTGCTTTTTTTTTTTTTTTTTTTTTTTTTCTCTGCAATTTCTGTTTACCTTGGAAGTTTAAACCTCAGTTAGGAAAGGCAGAATTCAAAAAAATAACATCAGGCCTAAGTCTGGATAGTAATATATATTCAGCTAAAATTTATCAAGAATGTTTATCAAGAATGTGGAAGGTATAATGCTTTACTATATTTCTGTCTGTTCCAGATCACATTGGTTAATTTCTGTGATCAGTGCTTGATTTTTAAAATTTTAATGCCTGATTTCTTTGAAAAACGTATAAGACATAAATCACTGCCATTTTTCTAAGAGAAATCTGTAACACAATGGCAGAGAAGTGATGTTTATGGATTAAGCCCGTGGACTTTTTTTCCTCTGTAATTTCTAAGATGATGCTGAGATGCTACAATTACTAGTGTATGGTAGCCTATCTTACAGTTTTGGGAATCCCCATATGTCACATTTTTCCTATAAAACATTTATTTTGGCAATCTCCAAGATTTGCAAAAAAAAAAAAAAAAAAAAAACAAAAAACAACTACGAAGAGCACAAACTACTGCTCTTTTTGTCAGATGCTGATGTAGGGAAACCTCCCTTGAGGGAGTTTCATGGAATCTCTTACCTGTGCCAAGAGGGATGAACATGGTCAGACATTTCGGAGACTCTGTTTTCATATCACTTCTAGGCAAAGTACTTCATTGGTTTAATGGTTTCTATGAGAAGTGAATGCTATGCTGTGGATAAAGTAATAAATAAATTCCACTAAGCTCTCATTCAAATTATATACAAGATTAAAATAAATTTATGTTTGGTACTGATACTCCTGTAACAGAATTCATAAGGTGTTATGTATAATAGGAAGATCTCACCCAATCCTCCATCTATTTTGGTTTAAAAAGCAAGACCTTCAGCCTTAAGAAGACCCTTAAGAAGATAATGAATCTGACATCTACTCACACTTACAATAGAAAACTGCTTCAATGTCTGCAACCAGATGTCTGAGAGTAAACTTTGCATCTATGTGAAGACAGATTAGAACTTTTATTCCAATTTATTCCTGACTGTACTCAGAATAAAATTGCTCTGAATTACGATGTCACCCATTGTCCAGTACCATGTGTGCTCCAGCTCTAGAACCTTCATTAAAAATTAATACAAAAATCTCTGGGTCATAGCTTAAAATGCAAAGATCACAATTTAGGGCATACCTGATATCATTTATCTGTGTTAAATAGAGATGTATTATATCATAGATTGCATGGAAAAGAATATTTAAAATGCTTTCAGTTGGGCTGCAAAGATTTGAGTTCTTAAACTTTCATGCTAGACCAAAGGGCAGTGGAAGCTGAAAGAAAACTTTTACTAAAAGTAAAACAAACAAACAAACAAACAAAGCAATTTGCTATTTATGAAATCACTTCCTCGAAAGAAATGGATGTTAAAGTTGTAAAAAAACAAATAAACAACAACAAAAAAAAATAAAACAAACAAACAAAAAAAAACCACTTGTGTTTAACCCAAGCACTAATATCAAGTAAAATAGATTTCTAGCATGAAAGGATTTCTTGGCTTAGCACACAAGCTCACCTGGACTACTAAAGAATGCTGAATGAATGAGTTAACAAAAGATTTTTACATTATACAATTTTCAGAGAGGTTGATTGGGTACATTTTATTCAAGGAAAATCTCACTTCTGAAGAATTGTGAAGCCAGATGGTGCCCCATGAAGCTGCCTTGGAGTAAAATATTTCTCTTGTAATCTGAGAAATGCCCAATCTTTGTAGTTACATATGGAATTCTTTTTTCTTTAAAGGAGAGCATTTGGCAAACACAGTGTTCTGTGTCTATTTAGTGATCCCCACTGCCACAATTATTTCCATGAGTCATCAGAAGAACTAGAATCCAGTAAAGAAAGTGTCAAAGAAAAGGCATCCATTAGTTATGAAAAAGATCCTGTTAATTAAATTGGCTACTGACACCAGATTTCATTTTAAATTCTAGATAATATAAACCATTCAGTGAGTAGCCCATGCAGCATTTCCATGGCCATGTGCCATGTTTTCAAATGAAATTAAGATATTACAAATATTTAATGTTATTTAATAACAACACGTGTAATATCTACTAAACATACAAACTGACATTCAATGTGTCATTCCATTTGTTTATAGTACATACAGATCAATTGAGGTGTGTATACAGTGAGATACTAACACACTGGAGACCTCACATCAGTGGAACTCCTGTGGAAATGTATGTATCTTAGAGAAGAGAAGAGAAAAAAAGGAACTTATGGTGGCTTGTGATTTTGGCCTTGTGCCTTGAAAACATGCCCTGTTGTATTTAAATAGGTCAGCACTGAGAGATTTATGCCGTAATTAATCTTGATTAAATCCATGTAGGAGCAAGAAATTATGGAATAGCTGTTTTGGAACTATTTTGTGTATGACATAAGTAATCCAGAGATATAGAATACTAAATGTCTTGTGGATGGCCAGGTTATAATTCAACCCCGTCTGAATTTTACTGAATTGTTTGAATATTTAAACATTTTCACTGCAAGGCTTTTATTTTTTTTTCTCCCCACTTAGGCCTGATTGACTGTTATTTACTGAGAAGTAACTGTTCTACAAATAGAACTTGCTGAACTAGTATGAGAAAAAGTTCTTAATTTGAAGAGCTATGTTTAATGAACTTAGTTTGGAGCAGCAAAAATCCAAACTTCCTCCAAAGCCACAAACCAAATACAAACTGATAAATAGGGTAAATGTACTTTGGTATATAACCTAGTAGAAAATCTAGTCAAGCAGAAGATTAATGCAACTGAAACAGATCTCTTGCTTGCAAAAGAGATAAAATATAATAAGAAGGGTTTTTTTGTTTTGTTTTGTTTTGTTTTGTTTTTTTTTTTAAGTAAAACAGTAAAAGGAAGACTAGGGATAATGTGGGTCCCTTGCTGAATGAGGAGGGTGTCCTGGTAATGGGAGACGCTGAGAAGGTAGAGATACTGAGTGCTTTCTTTGCTACAGTCTTTGCTTCAAGCACTCCTCCCCCAGGACTCCTCAACCCTAGAGGCAGGAGAAAGAGTCTGGGAAGTGGAGATCTCCCCCCGTGTTGACAAGGGAGTGGTTCAGGAGTGTCTGAGTGGGCTCAACGCACACAAATCCATGGGTCCCAATGGGATGCATCCACATGTGCGAAGGGAGTTGGCAGAGGCGATTGCTGAACCTATCATCTTTGAAAGGTCCTGGAGAACGGGTCAGGTGCCTGAAGATTGGAGGATAGCCAATGTCACTCCAGTCTTCAAGAAGGGCAAGAAGGAGGATCCGGGAAACTACACGCCAGTCAGTCTCACCTCTGTCCCTGGAAAGGTGTTGGAACAGCTTGTTCTGGATGCCATCTTCAAGCAATTGGAAGAGAAGAAGGTTATGAGGAGTAGTCAGCATGGATTCACCAAGGGGAAGTCATGGTCAACCAACCTCGTTGCCTTCTATGATGGCATCACCAGCTGGGAAGATGAGGGGAGAGCAGTGGATGTCATCTACCTTGACTTTAGCAAGGCTTTCAATACTGTCTCCCATGATATCCTGATAGCAAATCTGAGAAAGTGTGGGATAGATGAGTGGACAGCAATGTGGGTTAAGAACCGGCTGACTGGCCGAGCTCAGAGGGTGGTGATCGGAGGAGCAGAGTCCGGCTGGAGGCCTGTGACTAGTGATGTTCCCCAGGGGTTGGTGCTGGGTCCGGTCTTGTTCAACATCTTCATCAACAACCCTGATGAGGGAATAGTGTCTGCCCTCAGCAAATACGCCGATGACACAAAGCTAGGAGGAGTGGCTGACACACCAGAAGGCTGTGCTACCATTCAGCGAGACCTGGACAGGCTGGAGAGATGGGTAGGAAGAAACCAAGTGAGGTTTAATAAAAGCAAGTGTCCTGCACCTGGGAAGGAACAACCACACGTATCAGTATAGGCTGGGGGATGACCTGCTGGAGAGGAGTTCTCAGGAAAAGGAGCTGGGGGTCCTGGTGGATGACAGGTTGACCACGAGCCAGCAGCGTGCCCTCGTGGCCAAGAGGGCCAATGGGATCCTGGCGTGCATTAAAAGGAGCGTGGCCAGCAGGTCAAGAGAGGTGATCCTCCCCCTCTACTCTGCCCTGGTCAGGCCTCACCTGGAGTACCATGTCCAATTCTGGACTCCCCAGTACAAAAAAAAGACAGGGCTCTCCTGGAAAGAGTCCAGCAGAGGGCCACAAAGATGATATAGGGCCTGGAGCATCTTCCTTATGAGGAAAGACTGAGAAAGATCAGACGGAAGTCCTGAATCGTTAGGAGGGGGGAAAGGACCTTATACTACATCACCTGTCTTTCATGGTTTACCATAAAATAGAATCAAGATGTATAAAGATGTAGAGAAAATTCCAGATGAAGATAATCTGGAAAGCACTGAAAGCAGTATCACAATTAAACATAACCACTTTTAAATTTGTGGTTTCCTGGTGTACAAGCTGCCAAAAATTATATTCAAATCGTGACTTCTTTGTGAGCTTTGGCTTAAAAAAAAACCTCTATAAGTCAGTTATGGCTAACTATTATGGACTGATTTGTAGGTGAGTTCATTTCATTTGCAGTCCAAAGAGCAGACAGTTATTGGATTTATTTTCCATTATTTACAATGGAAATGAGCTCATCACTATTCCATTTTACATTTCATATTAATCAATTCATTTTTCTAGCTTGCAATCAGTTTATTAGTTTCAATAAGTGCTTCATGAATTGTTAATGACAACATAAAACAACAAAATCCAGAATCTGGTTAAAAATAACACCCTCTGAACACTTTGGCCTGCTGCCACTATAATATGTGTTTGGTGTGAAGTGGAACACACATCACTTTCAGCACAATTATTGGTGAGGGTCAACGCTGCAGCCTGGATTACAATCCAGGATTTTGCAGAGTGCCGATGCTATAATTTTATGGATGCATGTGGCAAAGCCTGTATTTTCATAGATACAGCTACTAGAGGAGCCAAAAGGAGCTGTCAGGTGCTCTTATGATCTCAATCAAGGCCTTAAACTGGAAAGAATAATGCCTCTCAAATAAATGCAAACACAGTATCATGAAAATGTATTTCCAATAGTGTCATAAGAGAAAAATAGTTATATGAATTTGGATGTAATTTATAATGCATTACAAATATTATAAACTTTAATTCGATTTTCAAAAGTCTTAAACACTTGCGTATAATTAAGTGATACTAGCCTCCTGAAAGATTCCATTTGCACACAAACATAAATATTGTTTGGCAAACAAAATATCTATTTTAGACTAAGTTCTCGAGTTGTCCTCTACAGAGCAAACCACATGGTAATATTATTATATTTCTGTTTAATTTGTTCCTAAATCCCAGCACCTCTGAGGATTTTAATTTCAATCTTGATAAAAAATGCACCTTTAGGAAAATTCTCTGCACATTGAGAGCTATTGTTAGCACAGATATGCAAATAAAATGATACTGTCTGATATGAAAAAGCTTGATGTATACCTGAAAAACCTCTCTTCCAACCTCTGCTTCTCTGCAGAAAAGATGAGGTTTCCAAGCCATCACACTGACAACAGCCTTCAAAAACAAATTTTTGAACATCATGAACTTAAGAGAAATTTCCAGGAATGTTAGAAATTAGTCAAAAGATACTTTTAATCTTTCTTTTGCTATTTCTAGTTTAAAAAG